AAAGCTGCCATGCGGTGGGCAAAGGATCCTGCCATCTCCTGTGCATCTCGGCATCAGAGCTGTCCGGTCAAGAACGGGTTAAGGATTGCGGCTACGGTGCGCCGGCAATTTGCCATCGAATCTGCTCGTCTCACCTTGTTGAAGACTCGCACACGCTTCATGAGTGAGGAGTTTACATATATGTATATATGTACATATATGTACGCGTATACATCGACAAGCATCTTTATTCATGCTTGCCTGTGGCTGAACAAAAGGTTATGTAAGTACATGCATATTCGCATGTGCATGGGTACATACATATACATGTACATATACACGTAAACATACACGTATACAGAGACAGAGACCGGTGCGGATACAGATGCACATTCACATACACACATACACGTGCAGATATACATACAGACACACATGCGTGTGTGAACAAGAATCTTCATGTCTGCCGGGAGGTCGCGTTGATGCCCTCGGAGCGCGTAGGGCGGCCCGCAAGCCCCGACGACGCCAACATGGATGTCGACTTTGTACAGCTGGCGCACCTGCTGATCTCAGGAGGGGCTTGTTGTTTAGAGTGGAGGGTTCGGGCATTCGATTCGACTGTCATTTTTCCAGCAGCAAGACAGCAAGATGTCCCCTTCAGGGCCTCACGCACGGGTCCTGGCGGTGCTGTTGGAAGGGCCAGCGCCTCTTGCTTGCAGAGCATTCTTGGGACGTGAATGCGGGCTTCAGTTTAAATTCGGCTCAGGCTCAGGATCTGTTTCGCTTTTCCGCATTTCTCAGCAATTAGCTGTGGCAAAGCCGAACACCACTACCAGCACGAAGCTTCGCTCCAAGATCTCCCGGCCACGGACTGCGGCTACAAGCCAATGCAGCTAAAAAAGCCCCAAGCCTCCACCGTGACCTCACGTGCCGCAACCAAGGTTCCGCTGCCCAGAGTCCGTGGGGTTGGCCGAGGAGTTCCGCTCGGCCCATGCAGAGGTTTTCTGGGTGGAGGCACGTATCTAAATGAGTAAACGGCTGTGAAGTATGTATTATATACAGTAACACAGTATATAATAAGTGTTCACATGCACACATATTGTACGGAGCAATGCGTGTATATGAATATATATATATATATATATATAATAAATATATATGTTTAGATAGACATAAATGTATGCTTTTTGCAGTAACACAGTCTTTAGATTGTCTTCGGTGAATATTTGTATACATACATACGTACCTGTATATATACATACATACATACATACCGTACCCTGCTTATCATATTCAGAGGTTCGAGGGGCCATGATCGTTCTGCACATGTGAGTGTGCTGCCCTCTGTTGCTTTGGATGTGTCGAGTTTTCACCGCAACTATGTCCCACAGAATCTCATGGATCGGTGATCAGATTTCTACAGTTTACTTGCAGCCGGACTTGGTCATGTGCAGGCATTGCAGGTAGATTGTTCGAAGGGAATGGGGTCATAGATTTCAACAGGAAGCATCTCTGCATTCAAAGCTGTACCGCCACCAATCCCAGACATCAGAGCCCACCGTGGCTGCGATGGGTATACAACTTGCCGGTGCTACCAGTATGACGGTGAAAGTGTGAAATGCCCGGATGTCATCGCTTGCATATGTCAGTAGACCCTGCTATAAGGCCAGGCAAAGTACAACGATCCAAACTCGGCATTTCCCGTACGCATTAGCTTACGTGGCTCGCACATGACAGTTCACCAAACGTCGCTGTTAAACCCTACTAAAGCCATAAACCCTTAAATCCCTAGCAGAATCCCTAACTAAACCAGCTGCACAGGTCCGGTGGTTCGGTTTTCGAACCCCGCGCATGCGAGCCGTGCTGCCTCCGAAACCCGGGGCTGATGGATTCTTGGTTCTGAGGGCACAAGACTTTTATTTATCTGTATATACAAACGCACACATGTACATATACATATATATATATATACACACATAAGTATATGTATACACATACACATACATATATAGATCGATATAGACATCGGAAAGGGTTGTAAAAAAGAGAATATATACATATATGTATATATGTATGTATTGATCGATGGTACAATTATGTAGTACATAATTGCAGCAGTCATGGACAGAGGGCCGTGTGAGGTCACAAAGGAGCTATCAGAACAATCAAAGCACGCCGAGGACGGGTGGAGCCGATCGAGGAGGATCAGGATTCATGGTGTCTGACCTGTGCTCTAGAGTTGTTAGGACGTAGTTTGTTTATACAGCTCCAAGGGATCATTAAACCTATTCTTTTGTTATGGTTCTGTAAGGGCGAATCCGTATAGGACCTAGGAGTGTTTCCGCAAGTTAGACGGAGGGTCACGCATGGTGAGTTGTTGTCGGCAACGGCCTTTGTTTGCGTGGGATTGCTGACTAGCTGGCAGAATTCTGAACGACCCAGGTGAAGCAACACTTGAGCAAGTTTCAGCGAAACTGCAAGCGACCTATATGGTTTCGAGGTTTGGGCTCAAGACAAATTACAAGAATTCAGCCGCCAAATCAAACTCTCAATTCTAAAGGAGGGTAGGGCCGACTTGCTTTTCTCTTGACAAGCCTGGAAGTGGAAGCACCTCGCCCTATAATCAAGTAACGAAGATACTGCGACCTGGGCAGAGCAGAAGACAATTAATCAATTGGCAAAACCCCCGACCTTGTAAGCGATGCAAACTGCGAGCTCAGAAGCTTGGCTGGCTTATCATCATCCAGTTATCACCGCTTCCAGTTGTTCTGCCTAAGCCCTTCCGTGCCCAGCAGAAGAAACAGGCGTAATGTAAGCAGAAGACCGCCAGCTGTCCCAAGTCATGCGGCCTTGGGTGAGGACCCTAGGCAGCCGCGCTAGCAGTGCCGCAGTGTACGACGATTAGATGGGTGGAGCACTATCCCCTGAACACGGCAATCCCTCAGCTCTGCTGAAGAATTGATCAGGAGCGAGGTCCTCTACCGGACATCACGAGCTTGGTTGGGTACCGACGCCCGAAATTGAGAAGGGGTTTTGGCGCTTTGGTGCCGGGGTACGTCAAGTTTCGATGTCTGGTGCGACTCTGTAGGTACCGACCTGACGACCAGCCTTGATCTTCCCCTCTGCTTTGCACTTCTTTGTGGCATGCCGGTCTCGCTAGTAGGAGTACTGTAGGCCCGTGGGTTGAAACACACCCTGATGGGAGCGCTTTCAAATCAAGAAAACTCTTGCCTTACGCTCCCCAGCAGCATCAAAGCGCAACAGCAGGACTGTGTGAGCTGAGCTCTGCCTGAGTGCGGTCTCAGAGAATCGTATGATGTGTTGTGTTGCCCAACCTGTGGGGCTGTGGTTGTTTCTTGGACTTTCGAGCGTTAGGCTGAGGCACAGGGTTCCGGGTTTGTGGCCACGTTTAACTAACTAAGGTTCAAGCTTTGGGTTTAGGGGTTAGGGTTTAGGGCTTACAAGGCCTAGAGTGTCGAGTTATAGGGAAGCCCTATGCCCTGGAACCCAAGCCTAGAGCCCGAACCCGAAGAGCGAAGAGCTCCCGTGACATGCGGGAGCCAGGCACCTCTTCCGGCACGGTTTTATGGAAACTCCACGAGATGCCCTGGCGCCGGCAGTGGCCAGGAGAGACTTTTTCAGATATTAGTCCGTGTACCTTTGTATGATTTTCTTTTCGTGTATGTGTGTGTGAGGGTGCATATATATATATATATATATATATGTGTGTGTGTGTGTGTGTGTGTTGTGGGCAAAGCAGTATGCAGCCACAATGCTAGGCCTTAGGCCAGTGCAGCAGATCCAAGATGGCGAGTGTAGTTGATTAACAGACTTCGTCTTTGAGTGTTAGAACGACCGTGTCTTAGTCTAGCTTTGCGCAGGTTTTGGCACCGAAGTCTGCAAAGTTCGGATTTGACGGCTGCTTGGTTGAGTTATACCCCAACTTCTCTTTCCTGGTCTACTTAGCCCATCTTGGCTTCGATGTCACATGCTTGTCTCCTCCCTTATGGTTGAACGTTGCCCAACTTACCAGCAAGCTAGCTTGCGCTGCTCTTTGAACTCATGAGTCGCTCATGTAATCCACCCCGGGACCTGTCACTCTGACTGGTTCGAGCACGAGGGCGTAAACTCGTATGATGCCGTGGCATTTATGGCTATGGCTGGCCCAGGTATGGCCTGCCCAATACCCTCTGCACCAGCTGAACGACGTCTTGAGCGGCTTGTTTGAAAGAATTTGGTGGGGTGCTGCGTGACTCTCCGGGTCCGGTTCTCGTTGACATGCTGAGGCCAGAACCCGAGAGGCAATTGGCACACTCTTTGCCAGGCAGCTCTACTAAAATTGGGCGACAAGACTAGTCCTTCACAGGTCGTTGTACCTGGGAGGTTGTAGTACTGCATCCTGTTTGCGGACTTTGCATTCGCGCCGCCAAAGACCCCAAAATGCCCTGATGGCCTTGTCGTTCATCTTCTGATAGTGTCTCCATTGTACGTAGATCTTGTTTTGGTTCGTACGATCCAAGAACGTAACCCACAAAAGGAAACCATTGGAGACTGTAGCGTGCAGGCAAGCCTCGTGCTCAGGAAACTGCCTTTGTGCTTCCTGTCAGTGGAAAAGGCCGTGCCACGAAGGACGAAGCCTGACCATGCAAGTGAAGGGTTGTGTGAGCATGGTGGTTGCGCTTAAAATAAAGCTGTGGTATTGGGTTTTCCGATACTCAGGACATCAGCGTGTTGGAGTGTCCTGCAATGTATCAGGTATAGGCGAAGCTGAAGGTTCGCATGTAAAGCATGTCACTGTCGAGTCTGTTTCTCCTCTGCAGCTTTCAGCACCCGAACCTGCAGCAACACAACCGCCAGATCAGCGTCAGCTTCTCTTCGCAACGAGCCACCACAAGTCCAGCCAAATTACCATCAACCGGACTGCCGAAACATTCTGAGAAATGCCAGCAAGCCTCTCCCCCACTTGCTCCCCTATACCCTAAACCCTCTTCTGCCATCCAGCTTCCGCTTGCGGTGAGCCCATGAAGGGCAACTCGGGTGCCATGTGCCCATGCCGCTCGAAGCTCTGGGCCGCTGTGGCTAGTGGTAATATAAAAAGGGTCTAAATAAACAATTACCAATACTATTTTGGTGGTTCCTTCAAAGGGTTCCTTAAAGGGCTCTATAATGCGGTTCTATATTACGGGCTGAAATAGCTACCAATACTCTGTTGGGGGTTCCTTACTATACTTATAGTATAACGGGCCCCAAAGGCCTATTCTCAGTATTAAGACCCCTACAGTATATAGAAGTGTAGACCAAAACCAGAGCATCAGCTCAGGCAGTTTGTCTCATCTGCGCTGTGCTGGGCTCTGGCTGGATGATGTCCACACGCTGCGTGTTTGAGGTGGCACGTCGTACAACCAGAGACATGCCAAGAGCTTGGATTGTCCGAGTTGCAAGCGTCGAAGCCCAAAAGCCTAAATACCTCTGAAGCCGTCTAGGCTTTATTATGGGGTTTAGTTAATATCCTCAAGACGCCAAAACACAGAAAGCCCAGAACCCCTCAAGCCCCGAAGGTGGCAGTGCTGTTTCTCGCCATTGCCGCTCTTCTGCTGTTTTGGACCCTTGCTTGCCGGCCAACGCTTCTCGGTTCTGACTTCGAGCTTTGAGGAGTAGATTAGCGTTTTGGATTTTTTTCCCCCGGTATGTTGGGGTTTTTGAGGGCGTTGAGGGGTTGTGGGGGTATGAGATTCCGGGTGGAGGGCGGGCCCGGGGCTTGGGTATCTTACGGCCTCATTGCTTGGGCTCGAGCTTCAGAAATTCAGAAAACAGCGCAGCAGCGGGCGACTCCTGACTCCTGTGACAAGGCTTTGCATCTCGGCTCTCTACCTGGCGATTTGCTTTGCCATCCTCATCAGAGCCCTTGATTGATATCAGATGGTTTCAGCTCGGGGTTTTCTGGGTGTTGCGCTCGGGGAAAGGGAGCTGTAGGTGCGAAGCTGTGAGCAGTTCGTCTTGGAGCTGATTCTTCGTGTCTTTGACAGAGCCGACAGCGTGTAGGTTGGCAGAAAGTTGATTGGGGTCGCTCATCTTCTTGCTCTGGGGTTTGCAAGCCATGTCCTCTAGTGCACTGTAGGGATCGTCGCTCAGGCCACTTTCAAGCGCACGCTTTGTTCGATTGCTGATGAAGTAGGGTCGAGGATAAAGGGTTTTAGGAACTGCAGTGCTGAGACTGGCATCGTTTGGTAATTCTACATGTGCTACAGGGTAGGCAGGTGCTTTCTCTCACAAACCTACAGTGTTTAATCGCCAGGAGAGACTTTGCTCACCGTCACGGGCCATGTGCCATGTGGTTTGCCCACCTTCGGCAGCGAATGCGCCGAAACCCAGTGCGAACAGAAGCTCGGCAAAGATATCATTCAGCTGGTCTTCGTGTCTCCGGGACGGCGGATGAGCTCTCTTTCAGGTCTGCTCTCCAGTCACAGAAATCAGACGAATAACCAATACGGTTTCACATGATGGCGGCAGCCACTGCACAGTTTTGCGCAGATTGAAGACCGTACACCCGTTGGAGATGTATGTTCAGACATGATTTCTGTCTCCACATGTGCATGCAACTTTGAAAAGCTGTCTATAAACAACAGACAGCTGCGCATGTTCCCTGCATAGAGCTGGTGAGACCTCATAGGAAGAGCTACTTCCTGTTCTTCGAGACGGGATGCGCCAAGCACCTCTGCGTGCGCACAGAGCGCTTGGAGGTCCAATCCGTTTTCAAAGTTCCGGCCAGCGAGCTACACACGGAACCTGGGCATTGGAGTTGGCATGTTTATTCTTGCAGGTTATGAGGGCTCCTTACACATCTTCTTGTTGCTGCTGCTTCCAGAGTGTTGTTGGGTTCCATACCATCACTGTGCCTTATGACGAGAGTTAGGAGCTTTTCCGCATCCGGGTAGGGGTTGTGAAATGCACACAATCGTGCCAGCTCATTTCGGCCTCGTGTGTTTCTGAGTTTCTCAAATGTAATCTGCCACCGCTAGCATTGGATGCGTTTGGCGCGAAGCCCTGGCTGTTTCAGAGGACCTCAGGAGATGTCATTCTTGTTTTCATAAGTCATAATTATTGTTATTATTACGGTTAGTATCATCACCATTATTATCATAGTTATATACGTATTTCTACTATTACGAATTACTATGACTCTCTCAGAGGACCTCAGGAGCTGAGCAGCTAAGGTCTGGCTGATTACTGGCTTGGCCTTCGCTTGGGCGACCCTGTTGCTGACTGCACTCCAGCTGAAGCAGTGGATGACACCAGTCTCTTGGCCTTCCTGCGGTTTCTCAGAGGGCTGGTCAAACCTAAGGCTTTTTCAACCTGTCGAGCTGAGATGGACGGAGGGAGGAGTCGAAATCCGCCCCAGGGCCTGGCTTCCATCTCATAAACCACGAACCCAACGCCCGAAATTCTAAACCCTCTAAGTGGAGCGGGCTACGTCCTACCCATGCAGGAGGCAAAAAGCAATCCAAGGGAAACCTATAAAACCTGTACAAGCCCAAGTCGTGCTCAAGCGATCGGCAGGTTTTCGGTGGACTGCCAGCGGAGCGCGGATACTCCATTGCCCGCCTGACGGCCATTGTGCTGTGCCTGGGCCATGAAAGTATGGCAGCGCTAGGGGCCTTAATTAAGAGTTAGAACAAGATTTTGAGGTGTTTCTGAGTATAATCTTCTTATAAAGTAAACAGGTACCATCAGGCGGCAGTTGTAACGATAGCCCCGAGCTTCGTCGACATATTCTCAGCACAGTATGTACATGTAGGTATTGTACAGTAGAGTATAGTATACTCATACATGTATGTAATGGCTGCGTGCTGTTTTGATCGACTGGTGGGCTGAGGTATCAGGTCCATTTCTCCATCTATCTCACGCCTTCAAAGAAATGCGTCTCAGGCTCCTCCCGGCCACATACGGCGTTTGCGCTGCTGGTGCCCTGCGGGTGATAACAACGAACAGGGAGGCCCATGATGGGCTTCTTCGATCCAGGGGTCAGTTTTCCATGCTTCAGGGTGTACTATTATCTGTTTTCCTCTTACCACGATTATTACCATGATTGTTGCATTCGGATTTCTGAATCTCAGACTTTCAGCCATTCGGCGCTCACTTCTCGCCAACAGAGTAGCTTGATCAGCTAGGGCAGGGTGCTGCGCGTGTGTTGTAGTGCAAGAAGCTCATAACACAGTGCAACATATATTATAAAGTACGATACTGTACTATCAGCCTATTTGGCGCGATCTCTTCTCTAAGATGAGCTGCTGACTGTCGCCAGAGAGGACACCTGGACAGCTGAAGCGCTGCTGGACGTTGCAGAACTCTTCTCTGCAATCGCACTGCCCCTTGGATCCAAGAGCCCTGGTACCCAAGCAACGATGCACAAACTTGCAGACTTGATGTCAATGGCCATAGGGTCATGTGATACTAGTTAAGAAAGTTGCAGCTTCCTCAGCTCTTGCTGGGTAACTGTTTGTCGCAAGCCCCAACCGACCATAGTTTGAGTCTAACCTCTGGATCAAGTGTTCGGTGATGGCTCAGCAGTCCGGGGTTGCAGGATGTTGCAGGGGGATCCATCACATCATCCAAGGTACTCTTTCCAGCGGCTCCTCATAGTGTACGTCGACGTTCTTCACGCAGACTCACCGAAGGCAGCGACTGCATGTGACCGTCAGCTGGACCGTGCCACTGCAAAGCGCCCGAACACCTCCGGGTCCGTAATCCACCCTTTGCAACAGTGTCCGCCTCTCTTCGAGAGATTTTCTCGCGCACGCCCGGCTTTCGTCGCCATGCCATCGGCCCTGTGGCCAGGCTGCGGTGAAAGTGGAGCCCGACCAGATTCGCCACAGCTTCCAGAGACATGGCCTTAAAGATGCTGAAGCCAAGAACCCCCAAGCCCTGATGACCTTTCAGCCCTAATTTCAGCACACTTACAGTAACCTCTGTGAACTTCTGCCTCCTTTTGTACCCCGAAGAGATCTCTTATGGCACCATTTTGGGGGCACGGGATATCACGGGATGACACGAGACTGAGGAAGGTCATGTCTGTGGGCATCCAGCAGTACGTCGTGTTGTGCCTTAGCTGCAGCGACCTTCTGCCAGTCCTCGGCTTGAAATGACTTCAACTGCTTGACATCCGGCAATTCTGCATGAGGGAAGCCGTGAGAATTCGACCGGAGATTCAAATCGATGTAGCGCCAGCCTCGACTGTGCAAAGCCAGCGAATGAACAACAATGTCACCCAGCTATGATGATAGCGCATGGTGCTCACTACCGTGTTCGGCTGTTCTTCAGTTGATGCAGCTAAAGAAGAACCCTACACCCTAAACCCTGGTTCGTCCCAGCCAGGCGGGAGGCAAAAGAAACCCTAAACCCATCCAAGGCAGTTCGTTTGCAACTCGATCCTGGTGGCTGTCAAGGCTTGGGATTGGCTGCACCCAAGCTCCTGCGAGGACGCCCTCCAAGGCTCGAAGGGCCCCCCAGAAACCCAAGGAACGGAGAATTCGACAAATTCTCGGCTCCTTTATGGACTTCCTCAGGGTTTTGATCGCACGTCGACTTATCCGTGCCTGGGGCATCCTTTCCATCTACGTGCCTATGAGACTGCACCGGTTTTGAGGTGTCGACATATCCCTGCAAGGCATCTAAGGCATGCTGTTCTCTGAACTCACTGAGAATACGTGACTTGAAGTTGGCATGGCCTTTCATTTTGGCATGCACTCTCACCCTCCACCCGCCTTTACACCTATATACATCATGTCTTTGAGGGATGCATCCGTACCGTTCTTCTTCGCAGGCATGATGCAGTACGTCTTTCCACGGCACAACATCAGCCTGGCGATAAACGAGGCAAAGCTGCGAGACACCATCCACACGAGGACTGCAAGCCTGCATCGCAGTAGTATTGCAAGATCCGAGTGCTGAGAACCAATCAAAACGCCCTTAGTTCTTCATGCTGTTAGTTTCTGTAGCCGAGTCATCCATGCCGACCCGATATGCCAGAGCGCAAGGACGAGCTCCTTGGCATGCGAGGCTCGGGGACAGTCGGCCTTGGCGTTTCGATGTGTCCGGTAGAACTAGAAACTATAGCAGACATGACGATATGCGGATGACGGACTATTTATAATGGACACACCTACTTCCTTTGGATAGGCCAGGGTTGTGCCGAAGAGATCAACATGCACTTATGCATGCCGCGTGCATATTGCATTGCTCAAGGCAGGTGCCCATTCAAAACTGTTGTCGTGGTTAGTCAGCTTTAGCGAGTGGGTATGCTAGCATACGGTCGTTTGCTAGTTTGTTCGTCCCTACTTCCTCCAGCTGTGACAGCCACCAGCATCTGACAGGACGTCTGGAATGCTACCTCATTGCTTATGGTGGTAGCGGACTTCTTCACCTGCAGCGGCTCGATTCAGCAGATTCATTTTACGATTGGTGCCATCGTTCCTTTTGGCCTGTGCCCAGAGGATTCCCGCCTCTTGAATGGGAATTGGTACTGTATAGTATAGGACTCTCAGCAGCCCCCGAAGCCGCTGAGGCATCGCGCTCTTCGCGGTCCTGCAGTACGAGCATGCCTTCAATGATGCGCTGCGACCAGTGCGGCCATTCTGGAAGTTCTGGGGCGTGAAAGGGCCTCTCGGACGACACAGCTACGCACGAACAGATACACATACTTTGCATGCCATGAAAATACCTGCATACATAACAACATGTACAAATACACACACATATGTATACAGATATATGTGTATATATACATACGTGTTTATAACGCAAATGTTTTTTGCGAATCTATACCTGTGCAAGCCTACCCGCCTATATCTAATATCTACATGTGTATCTATATCTGTATATACATACATATGGGCAGGGTGTCGAGTTCGTCATGCTAGTTTGGGTGCCGTGACATGTTGGGTGCATGCAGCCACCAGACAGGGATGCACACAAGATGTGTGGAGTTGTGTGTGTGTGTGCGCGCATGCGAGTGTCTTTTCGCGAACCTACAAATAGATGCATGTATATATGTATTTGCGCATAAGATCTCATAAGATACGTATACATGGAGACATCCCCAAGTACACGTACACCTTCTGTATGTACATGCGTACATGAATATGTATGTATGTCATGCATGTATTCAGGAGCCCATGCGCGAATGTACGTATGCAAGTACCTATGTATGTATGTATGTATGTATGTGTGATTGTATGTGGAATGCATGTCTATGTATGCAAATGTTTAAGCAAGTATGTATGTATGTTCATGCGTATGTAGATATGTAAATATTTGCTAGGTCTCGATGTAAGACAGCTTTCAATTTCATATTGTTCACTATGGGACTCTAGTTATAAACAAAAAGTGGGGATGCTGGAATCGACACCTATTCATGTATGTATATATAGATGTCTGTATGCTTGTATGTGTATGTTTGAGTTACGTCTGTGTATGTCATTATGTATGTGCTTGCACAGACAGACATGCAAACAAGCAAGCAAACAAGCAAACACACAGTCATCCGTATACATATGAACATGTATACATGCATATACAGTATTATATACAATCATGTCATTCGGTATTATGTATGAGCATACTGTTGTACTGCATTTGGTCGTCGTTTGCGCAAGACATGCTCAAAGTATGTTGGTCGAGCCGAGAAGCCCACTACTACTCTACTGCCTGAGACGACAAAGTACATCCACAAAGACGTAGGCGCACACACACACACACAGACAGACACACACACACACACACCCACACCCACACGCACACGCACACGCACACACGCACACACGCACACACGCACACACGCACACACGCACACACACGCACAGAGGCAAAAACACACATGTAGACGTGCGCACACACACAAATATATAGACATAAATATCAGTATGTATATATATTTATATTTGCCATATATGCATATGTTTGCGTACCTTCATGCCGGCATGTCTAACCATTCATTACATAAGCCTGCCAAGCAGCAGAAAGACATTACTGCTAATGACAGGTAATAGTGACTCGTGTTGGTGTCTTTTGTTGCGTTTTGCTGTTGTATCAGAATGCATTAGAGCGCCGTTTTAGACTGCAGCTGGCGCGCCCGGTCTGAGAGAGGTAGATGTGGCAAAGACCAGTGGACACGCACACGTGCGCAAGGGACGATGGGACTGCCGCCGTCTTACACACCCCGGCGTCTCCCGGAAGACAGGAAAGAAAGTGGTTCAGTCCAATGCTCCATTGGGGTCTTGCAGGCTGCTGTCGGTGAACTTCATGCAGACGAGCGTTCTGACAGCTGCTTGTCAGCTTTCAGTTCAAGCATCACCTTTGGATTTGCCGAACATGCTCCAAGTAAGTGGCCCTTTCTAGGGTTTCATGCTTGTAAAGTTGTAGTTGCGCTGAAACCTCGCCTGATTCGTCGAGTGCGACTGACAACAGTGGCCCTTGCTGCAAGGTTTGAGTTTGGTTTCTGGTTCGAAAGGCTTTCTTTTGACCCGGTGCCAAAGTCATGCGGAGGAGGTTGTAGCGCATCTCCTGAGCTACCGAACTCTTGAATCTGCTTCCTTCTGTCAGCACGTCGAGCCATGTGAGTTATTTATGAGTCGTCGCACACGTTGTTCCTGTCGAGCTGAAAGACAGAATTCGAGGCTTTGGGCTTTCTCTTGGCCAGCGAGACACCCTCCTATGTGCGGACGTTCCTGAGCCTTGGCAGACCGCTTTGGCTTACATAGGTGCAATAGGAACGGGGACTTCAATACAAGTCCTGTTTGCAACTTCCAATAATATTCAGAAATACATGTGAATTTGAAGGTTGTCATGTCGTGTTGGTTCTGGTTTACGGGTTCCGTTCGCGCGGAAAGCTGTTGGGATGGCGCCAGCAAGCCTGAAGCCTCCTGTCGCAGGCCGCTATGGCCCAGACTCTCAATCAAACGCAGCTTAGCAGCCCTTATCGTCCAGGAACTACTACCTGCTCTCCGCGGAGTCCTTGGCGCTGGCTGCCTTACTGCACTTGGCCAACCGAATGTTCAATAGCGCTCTTTCGGCTGCTTGTCGAGGCCAACTTAGAAGTTGGATGTGGGGCTTCAGGGTCAGTCGAATTCATCAGAGCCATGTGTATCTATAAGTCTATAAGTTTCTAAAACATATATACACACGCCTACAAGCGCATCTGTCTATCTGCCTATCTATATGTTTGTTTTGTATGCAATTATGCCACACATAATACATATACTTCTACATATGCAGCATATGCATATACAGATACATTCATATATACATAGTCATATATGCTAATATACACATATACCTAAAGATGTATGTTAACATACACAAGCATACACATATCTATGTGTATTTATATATGTACACATATTTTAGGGCCATATGCATGAATTCGGAGAGCCAAGACCTGTTGCCTCGCTGCAGGCCTTGCTGAATCTCTGGGCCTATCCTGTGAAGCATCCGCGACCCTCGCGGGAGAGCGTGCGCACTGTTTCTGACGTAATGGTAGGGCAGCGACAGTCTGAGCTCGAACCCACATTTCTCGTGTTCGGGTCTTCTTGTAGACTGCGCCTTCAAACATGCTCTAAGATGAAGTTACGAGGGAAGCATGCCCTTCTGAAAGACTTAAGAGTCTCAGAGTATCGTCGGAAGGAGAAGGTGGACTTCGTAGACGAGCTTCAAGATGATGCTCCTGGGCCTCGGTGTTCTTACATTGAAAATCTGAATAGTTAGGAATGGTACGCCCTCATAGCTCCTGTCCCGGGTATAAATTGAGGGAAACAATACCAAAATCCAGTTTTACGTCTTCAGGGGCTCCTAAATTAGTTTTGGTTCGGGCCCGCCCCGAACGAAGTTGCGAGTCGGAACTTGTTGGATTTCAGTTCTGCTGCCGTCCTTGTAGTGGAGTCCAGATCCAAAGCGAGAAAAGCAACAAAGGGCCAGACCCATATCGCGCAAAAGGGTGCATGTACACACCTCTGCTCGCAAGCAATTGCATGCATGCATGTATGCACAAACAAAAGACATTCTTTGTATGATGTGCATATATATATATATATATATATATATATATATATATATATATATATTCACATATACATGCACATATACGTATACATATACATATACATATAGATATACACACATAGACATGTATATATATATATATATGTGTGTGTGCGTATGTATGTATAAGTATAGTTAAATGATGTCTGCACAGAAAGTTGGATGTATGTGTATATACGTATAGAGGTATGTGTACTCGTTTTAATGTTCGAGTGCGCGTGCGTAAGTATTTGTTTGTACACACATATCACATATACATCAACTGCTATGCTGACCTTGCTCATGACGTGAACGACTGCTGGTGCGGGTGATTTTCGTGGGGCAGTTTGGAAGCTTGGCAGGAGGAGAACCATGTTGGAAGATAATCTTGGTCAACAAGTTTGGAATGTCGAGAGCACCGTAATGGCTGACTGGCATGGGCGGTTCGGCTGGCTGTTGGGCCAATAAGCTTTGGATTAGTGTTTTGCCTGCTCGTTGTGAGTGGATGTCTGTAGTGATGCCCCAAACCTCGCCTGACCTGGTCGAGCGCGAGTGCTAACATAATGTCTGTATGCATTCGTGTATGTATGTATATACATACATATACATGTATGTATACATACATATATATATATATATATATATATATATATATATATATATTTATTAAATACAACATACAATATACATATGTGATACACATACATATACACATATATACATATGTGTGTGCATGTAAACTACGCATCGGCGTGTATTTCAGCTCTGTCCTCTCAGGAGTCCTCTCGCACCGCACAGCCCTTCGAGATCGAGGCGCCCGCACCGGCGGCAGAGACCTTGGGCCGAAAGCAGTCTGCCTGATAGTAGTAGTGGTATGTAGCAGTAGTAGTGATAGTATGAAATACATGTAATGGCAATAATAACGGTAAGACGAAGAATAGGAATAAGGATAGTAACAGTAATCTTGTAGAAGTGCTCCAAATAATAGGAATAATGGTATTGATCAGCTTTTTTAGCTATTATAAGAAATACTAATGTTAGAAACCATGGGAATACTGTAACTGATAGTAGTCGTAGTTACATAAGTCGGAAAGAATATCGATAATAGTGATGATACTGAGGGTCGTGAGCTGATTTTACCAAAGCGTGGTGTGGAATTAGTTGGCCACGCTTTCTGGTTAGTACAGCCTTGCAGCTACTTGCATGCGCATACAGAGCTTTTGTTCTGCAGTGATGGGAAAGCAAATCATCAGCGTGCGGATGGTTTTGGTTTGCACACATTTGGCGTGTGTATGTCAAGAACGACTTGAAGACATGCTTAGCGTCGGGTGTCAAAGGATTGTTTCACGATACATAAAACGTTTGAATACGTGAGCATTGGGGCTCCTATCGTTCGACATCGGGGCAGCGAGGCTTCAAGATCCTTCAGCTCAGTCGAGCCCCTTCAATGCGCAACCTCGCAGAGGTTAGGGCAGCAAAGTCCTGCCTTGCAGCTGAAAACAGCCTGCAACCCCGGCCTGTCCAGCCGAAGCCCGAGGCGAGGCGTTTATTCGGGGCGCCGCTTAGCTCTCAGCTCCCATGGATCTAGGCATGTTCCTCCGAGAGTAGCAAAGCTGCAATGCCCCCTCCTCGCGTGGAATGTTGCAAGAGTCTCTGCTGGCAAGATCCTGGGAAAATGGGGGCACCTCGCCCCAATGCGCCAAGATGCAGTGTACAGTTGCATCGCTCAGCAGCAGCAAAAGCAGAGATCGTTTCAACACGACGGGACGCTGATGCTGAATCGATAGACATTCGGGAATGTTTAGGTGTAGGCCGCAGGCAGTGTTGTACTTCAGACAGAGTAGCTTGGTGCCGCCAGGCCTCGGGACCGCAACATGAGTTAGTTTCCTTTCTCAGCGTCGGCCGCGTTTGTTGGTTTAGGCGTAAGATCTGGGGTCTTTGGGACTTTGGGGGGCATAGAGTCATCGTTAGCATGGTTGCTGGCGGGTGACACAAATCAGCTAGGATCGCGTTATCCTACGTTATGTATATTGCAGTGACAGAATGTTCGGGTATGTGCGAACACTTTCCTCGGCAGGAAATTATCGCCAAGTACGGGACGGCCGACTGCCGTTCGATCTTCCTCGGAGGCTACCGAATGCCGGGAAATTAGGCAACAGTGCTTCTTTAGGCAATCATCGCGGTCGAAATCGTGTTACCCTGCACCTCATGCGCCTTATGGTATGTTGGCACAAACAGAATCCCTAAATTCAAAAATGACCCCGCAGCGGCCCCACTGGTGAGTCCTGTGTGAGTTGAGGTGGGCCTTTCCTTCTCGAAGACTCTGAGGAGCTCTGTTCCGAGGCTACACGGGGCTTGCAGAGTTCGTAGGGGTCCACCGGCGCTCACCATGTTAAGCGGATGAGTATCTACACCATGTTAGATTTATGGTTCCTAAATTGTTCTTTCTGGCTTGTCATTGGGTGGACACGTCATGTAAGTCCATGGGATCCTTCAGCAACCTGGGTTTGTACTGTTTCGTTCGGCTGTCCTGATTGTCCGTATCCCGGCCTCAGACAAGCTGAGAAGATCTCATCGTGAAATCAGTATGTGTGGATTACGTTTTATTCGACTGTTTTTGCCATCAGGTGCTGCGGCGGCTCGGCCAGGGCCCCTGGCCGGTAGTGCTGGTAGGAGTAGGTACTAGTATTAGTTGCAACAGCAGTAGCCACAGAAGCAGAAGTAATAGAGCGAAGATGCGAACTCCTACCGCCACTGCTGAGGCTACATGGACAGTGAGTTCAATACCGACCTCAGCGATGCCATAACTCTCTTCTGTGGTGGAACGGCCAACAGGCCAAGGATGATGCAGATACTTAACGCTTCGCTGCTCCATGCTGCAGCTAGTTCAATGTCTTTCTCACAAGAACTGGCGGGACAAGCCCTGACCAAGGGAGAAGCAAGCGCAAGGCCCGTAGTACAAAGTAAAGCTTAGAGCAGACTGCCAGGCGGTCCCTCCAGGTTGCCGAGGTGTGGCCAGTCGAAGGCCGGGTTCTGTGGGGGATCCGAGAGAGGTTCCGGGGCAGGGGATGTGGCGTGGGCTTGGCATAGAGTCGACATGTTGGGTACCAAGTCACGGTATCAACTCATGTCCGGTGCAAAAGAATCAGGAACAGCAACGCAGTGGAATGCGCTGTTGCAGCTATCGCTTTTGTTGGTATAATTCAAAGCGCACTTTTTGACCGCAGCCACGAAACGTCAAAGCGGGCCTGGCGCCAGGCTCACAGTCGCATGCAGAGGCTTGCGCCGCAGCAGTCCTAGAGTGGCAACCGATTTCTCAGCTTGAGACTGGTCGAAAGGATAGCTATCGTTGCCCCCAGAGACGGGCATCTGCCGGACACAGAAGCTTGCTCGCAAGAGCCGACAACCTGCAAGTTCACGCTAGAGACAAGGGCTCCGGTCATTCGCTCCGGCATTTCACGGGTCCGCTACTGCAAGACTAGGACTTAGGAACACTTCATCCTCAAATTAACCAAATAAACTTAAACGACGCCTGCATCTGCGGGCTCGTCTCGCAAGCGCCTATGCTGCTGAGATGGGCGCCGGTCTTGGGCTACGGCTACTCTTGGATTAGGAGCCGTCGGGTTGCGGAAGGTGCATGCATTTGATCTCACTTAGTTTTAGAGGCTCGATGCACTGGTATGCTGCATGCTGCAACTAAGCGCTGCGATACGATGCGATGATTAAGTTGATCGTCAAACTGCTCGGCTGAGAGATATATTGTATATTTATTGTTTATCTATATATATACATATATATAGAGCCTGCTCCAACTTCTTGTGGTTGTCAGAGTGACATCAGCTGCTCGTGAAAAGCTTGCCTGACGTGCTCGCAGTTTGCGGAAGGGTGCGTGGATGTTTGCACGCATGTGAGTTTGTACGTCTGCATGTATGTCAGTCGTGGTGAATCGGCGGGTGCCAGTCTCTGCCCGCCTCAGTACATCGTTAGCGGTCATGCATTTTTTCGCCATCGTGCGCCTGCGTACAAGCAGGCATGAGGACGTGAACATGGTATATGACAAGCAGCCGAGCAGGAGCCACAGATGCTGCAAGAGGGAACCATCGGAGACACGCCCCTTGCTTGAAGCTGCCAAATCCGTCCTCTAGATAAGCCTGAATCATGCATGGCCTAAACGGCCCTGCATCATGCTTGTGTGTCTTCTTTGTATACCACACTACAAGGTTGAGGTGCTTGAGGAGTGGCTAAATTATGCTTGTGCAAATGGTCGGCTATCACTATAGGCAGAGAACTTAGTGCAAGTATTGTGCAATGATGCGTGAGTCACTGCCAGCAAGTGCAAGGCTCATCCTTTTCCTCCAGTGCGCAATCTTCACTGTTCTGAAGGTGCCCCAGCGCATGCTTGATCTGCAGGATTCGGCATTCTTGGGAGTTTTCCGCGTGGTTGCCACACATGTGGGTTGTCAGAAAACTCAGGCACGTTAGTAAAACACCCTACGTGCCGCTTTACCTGCCCTTAGCCCGCGAGACAGCCGAGGAGAGCGAGGGAGAGAGAATTAATTGCGGTCGCCATGCCTTTGCGGGAAATTGCGCCATGGGTGGGGGTACCCCCACCCCAGCCCTGGCGAAAAGAAGAAACAGGACCCTCAGCAGCACAAGGACCCCAAACTTCAAACAAGATACCATAATTTGTACAGTTTATACTGTGGCATATACTATATATAATCTACTACACCATCAAGGTGCCCTAAGTTTCTATAGCTCCCGCCTCTGCTTGGCATCTTCACTATGGTATGCCCTGGCGGCGTGTTTATAAAGATGCCGTACCATTTTTGGGAACCAAAGAGGGACCCTAATTTAGAGATTTACTCCAAAAGCAAACTATGAATATAGGAGATAGCACATAGACAAAATGCGCACTTTAATCCATAGTATATTTAGTACATAGCACATAATACATAGTGCATAAAATATATTAATACATATCAGTACAGTATACATTCTGTACAGGTGCGAGAGCTCTATGCCCCTGCCAGCTTCGAGCGGCAGCGCCTGTTGGAACACGATGTATGGCTGCTTTGACTGCTGTTAGATTTCCAGATTGGTTTTGTTGATTCGCAGGATGGAAGTTGGGAAGAGGAGTGTTCCAAAATTGCTTGGCATATCCGATTCCTTTCACATTTCTGTTCGTGATGTTGGCAGCCTTTTCAGAATGGCGCCCTGAGCTTCGTGCGCATGTCGCAGCCAAGAGATTGGACATGTTTCATCATGTATCCGTACGCATTGGCATCGCCGTACTTCCAGAAGCACCCTATACCCTAAACATCCCTAAACCCTTTAACTGAATGGCTCCCTTGGAGTTGTCTCACTCAGCAGACTCCGAACCACATGCCTCGCCTGGATGGTCCGAGTGTGAGCGCCGAAACCCTAATAAAAAGCCCTAAACATCCCAGTAGTTCCTGTTGGGGATTTCCTTATAGGAGTCTATATATGAACCACAAAAAGGAACTACTTTGGGTCCTTAGGGTAGACCGACGAAGGTGGAACACCTGTGTGGAGGTCGAGGATTACGTGGTGTCTCGACCTGCAGTGGAGGCGAAGCTGAGAGTCGAAGTTCCAAAGTTCCAACAAGCAAGAAGCCTAGGGTGTTTGTTAAGGGAGCTATGAGGGTTCCTATAAGGGATCTCTCTTAAGGGAGTTATGAGGGTTCCTATAGGGGATCTGCAAGGGCGCACAAGACTTGAGGGCTTATTGGGCTGTTCAAATGCAGCCCGGATTCAAGACAAAGAAGAAGCAATCGCGAGGGAAGGTGTCCGAGGGTTCTAGCATGTTCTTGCCTTGCAACCGACCTGGTGGCACAGGCTCAGATTTCCTGCGGCTCACTTCTGCAGCGCCGATTGTCCAGCTGACAGCTGAAACATGGCTCCACCCAAGGTCAAACTCGCAACGTCCCTGCGCTCGGCGATCAACCGCGACCGGCTTAGCCGCCTCCTGCACCTCGGTGCTGAGGAGTGTCAGAATTTCAAGATGTCAGTTTTCAAAACACCCGACTTGCGAATTCAGAAGCTTACTGATTCCTTTGTTGCTGGTATTGTTGCTGTTGCTTGTATCCTGATTATGTGGTTGTCGGATTTCTTGAATGATTGGTTGTTTGCTTGCTTGCTTGGTTAGCCGATCCGTTGGTTCGTTGGTGGGTTGGTTCATTGGCTGGCTGGCTGGCTGGCTGGTTCGTTGGCTGATTGGCTAGCTAGCTGGTTGGTTCGGCGGCTGGTTGATTGGTTTGTTGGTTGGTTGCTTGGTTAATCAGACTGAAACACTACCACTACGGTTACACCCTCTCATACGTTGTTGTCTGTACTCAGCAAGTACTGGTGGATGACAAGATACGCTAGCAGTTCAAGGTGTGATGAGATAGTTCCTTGCATGCGCATTTGCAGCTGGCTTCATGACTCCCGGTTTGTGTCAAGATCAACAAGCCCTAAACACATCTAAATCGCAAGCCTCAGGCACTGACCCGTGAAACCCCAAACCCTAAACTCCATAGTATAGGGGCCTTAATAATTAGACTAAGGTTTTGGGGCCCATTACACAATAAGTACAATAAGGGACCCCCAAAATAGTGTTGGTAATCATGTAATCATCTAGGCCCCAATATTAATATAACCCGGCGGAGCCTGCAGGAAGAGCATGTTTCTCCCACGGAGTGCCTAAATGGTCAACTTCTGTTTGGGTAGCTATCTGCGTTGTAACGATTTCACACTGTCAGGCGCACCCGAACGGTCAGCTCTATACCCCTCAACCCTTTCGACTCGTTCAGCAATGCGCAAAACAGCCCGTAGTCCTTAATGTAGGGGCCTGAATCATTACCAACACTATTTTGGGGCCTCCTTGTTCTCAGCCGCAAAACCTTGATCGGCCCCTAGAGTAACCCCAACAAGATCCAAGAAGGATCGATGTGCTGGAAAATGGCCAAGTCGCCGAGCGCTTCGCCATCGTGCCTGGGATGGTGAAGCCTCGGCTCGGGGGCTTTCTGGATTTTCTTTGTTTCTTGTTGGGCTCCTTTTATGTATGTTGCCGTATCTTTTGAAGGGTCCTTTTTCAGAGTTCCTTGTATCGGTTAGCGATACCACGCGAGCTGCAGGTAGCTGTTGGGCACCTAAGCAGTGAGCATAGCTTTTTGCCTTGCGGTGAGTTTTGCAAACGTGAGTCTACCGTTCATGGCGTCAGTCATCAGCATCTGATGCGCAGGCAGCCTAGTCCCCAGTCCCTGCCCAAAAAGTATACAGGAGGCCACCACATGCACGTACGCCGCGCACAGAGCTGATTTGGGCATACCTGTTTGTGGAGCTTGTGCACTAGCAGTTCTTCGGATGAAGGGGTGCACCTTCAAGCATGGCGAGGATTTTCCGCGAGATCCGCAGCTGCTGATGGCCAAACCACTGGACGAAGTCGTGAGCGCTTTCCGCTCGTCCCTTGTGACGCTGGGCTTTGCAACTCAATCGTGAGTTCCTGTCTTTGTCGTGTTCATGTACCCCAGACAAGAGAGTGGAGTTGCTACTGCTGGTAATGCTACTACGTACTACGATTACTACCACCGCCGCCACCAAGTGGGTGAAAAAAAACCGCCACCACTACGACTACGACTAATGCTACATTGTGCCGGCAATTCAAGAGCCCCCTTTTTTGATCGTAATCTGGCCAAACTTGCACACTTGGTAAGTCTTGCTCCAAATCTTGCCAACCCTGACCGCTTGCACCGCTTGGGAAAGGGTGGGGGACTGTAATTTGGGTCATTTGGGTCACCAAAATTACCAAGATTGCCGGTCCCCTCCCCCCCTTCTACTGCTACTGCTACTACTACTACTACTACTACCACCACTGCCACCACTAGTGCTACTGCCAGAAATACTTGGTCAAGGAAGCTCGAGATGTCGGCATCGGCGGCTCGGCTGACTATAGTCGACTCCACTTTGGCTCCTTCCCCAAAGAGCCCAATACCCCTCAAGTAAGGAATATGGCTTGAATTATATAGGGGTTCATAGTATGATTTAAGCTATATTCCTTAATTAAGGGCTCTCTGGGTTCTCCAAAGAGCCAAGATCCGATGCTCTGCGACCCAAAGAGCCAAGATCCGATGCCATGCCCCTGAATCCGTATGAATCTGACAAGAGCATGAATGACCGTATGACCGTAGCAGCAATGGGCGACAAGTGCTCGGAGGCTTCTGCAGGGGAGAGTTTTCACAGACATGCCTGTGGCCCGATGATCTCTCGGCGATTGTCTTTTCATGTCATCTAGCGAGCACAATGCAGACCGGGTGTTAACATACTTTTGCTGCTCTTTGCTCGACAATCAGAAGTTTCCGAAGACCGAGCTAATCCGAAATCTGAAACATCCCCTGTGTCATCGATCGGAGCTTCAGGTGCTGCCTCCCGCACGACCGGGAGCGCGCTGGCGTGCTCTTAGGCTGTTACTTGATGTACTGCAAGTCGAAGCTGTTCGTGCAATTGCGTTCGGCATATTGTCTGTCACCATGAGTTCTTGTCTGCGATTCGGAGGACTGCCAGATCATTCACTTGGTGCTGTATGGGTGCTATTCCTGACTTGTTCGTAGGTTGGTTGCCTGTGGCTTTCCTTCGCTTGGTCTTGCTGTTGTTGCTGTTGGAATCCGGAGCATTACCGCTTCCGTGCCTCTATGGCATCCTACACTCGCGTTGCCACAGTCGTGACATACATGTGCGGTTTGCTGCTGCTGCGTACTATCACACATGACTGCCGGATGGAGTTCGGCAGTTGTCCGAGGCATGGGTGCAGGTGAAAGGAGTGTGCCGTTTGGGTTCCTCACTGGCTGCCCCAGTCCACTTCTGGCAAGTTCATCGCAGATCGGGCTCGCATGCATCATTCTCCCAAGAAAACCCCTGCCCGGAACCCCTTACTATGGGGGCCTTAATAATTAGAATAGGGTTTTGGGGGCCCATTATACTATAATCATAATAAGGAACCCCCAAAGATGCCCTCGACGCTAAGAAGACTCGCACACATCCAGCTCGAGGCTCTCGCGGTGACGCGGCCGGCTGCAGAGTTCTTGCGGCCGGAGCCGAGGGGAGGGAGGGTTACTATCGGGGCCTTGTAATTAAGCACCTTACGATGGCCTATCTGCGTCAGCCTCTGTAGTCTTCGTACTTTCAGCTCTCAAGTACTTTGCATAGCACCATGGAGCTGAAGCAGCTGGGTTCCAGTGACCATTTCCTACAATAAGTATAGTATAAGGGGCCCCAAAACCCTATTCTAGATATTATTATTATTATTGTTATTATTATCAAGGCCCCTATAGCAAGAAAGGATCCTGAGAGCCTTCAACATGACGGCTCTCACTTCCCCAACCAAAGTCCGATTTCGTCGAGTCTGCCCCCATGCCCCCAGATGCACAGTTCCTCAAGCTTCGTAGCCAGGAATGTCTCCTTGTCAGAACTTTTCGAAGCAGCGGTGTTCGTTTGTAAGAGCTCCCTATGTATCGTTAACAAGCACAGCTTTAAAACAAGACACAAGCAACCCTCCACGCTCACATCCAGCTATGGCTGATGCATGTGTGCCGAAATATGCCTGTAGTATGCAACCCACGACAGATAAAGCACGGTCATGTCTACATCCTACACACAAAGCCAATTGCATAGAGAACGCATCAGGCAGCATGGACTAACATCCGACACCATGTTGCAGCCGCGTATGACCACCGGTAGCACATCGAGATATCCCATACTATAGCATAGCACGAAGAAAAGCATCGCTGTAGCCAGTAACGAGGCCAGGGATGCCATGAACCCTGCGAGCGAACTGCTATTGCTTCTACTAAGATACGATCGCGCGCCGGAACTTGCAGCAGAAGGCTTCAGAGCACCGCCGCCCACCATGTGCGAGACATCAAAGACAGGGCAAACTTTCCCTTACTACCACTACAGGGGCCTTAATGATTACCTATACTATTTTGGGGTTCCTCTTAACGCCCCGATACTACACCCAGAGCTACAAGTCAAGGCCTCATTGGCTCTCTAGTCTAGCCGCATTGGACTTGGCCATCGTCCTAGATACATGTAACGGTCTAAGGGCGGGCATCCCATCATGGACCTATAGCGGATCTAGTGCAGATGCGGACCAGTCTAAATGTAGCTTGAGTCTTGCCTCTGCTCCATGGTGCGGATCCTCCTGGCTTTGCTGGCCACGGCATTTTCCTCAGCCGCGCTTCCGATTGCAAACTTCTCAGAGGCGCTGAAGCTGGACCGCTCCTGGGAGTGCGTTGAGAGTTTCTGAAAAGAAAGAGACGAGGCGTCTGGCTGGGGACTGATATGATACTCTGGGTCGGAATCGGCTTGGGCTTGGATTTCAGACTTCAGGAAATTACTTGGAGGTCCATGGGTAGTTATCAGTGGGGTTATCAGTCCCCTAATATGGCTTATAAGTATAGTTACCCTACTTATAACTCCACTTATAGCTACCCATGAACCTCCAAGTATCCTTCCCTCCGGGACCGGAATTTTGGGATGGGCCGTGGATCGGGCACATTTCGCCTTTCTCTGGTAGAGTCTGTGGCCGCAAGACCTTCCATCAGAACCGCCTTGGCTTTCGTCCACCGAGGAATACTATTCAAAAAACTATGCAATAAACTATCAAGCTAATTTTCCTGCTCATGTGACTTGGAAAATACATTCATGTGACCAAGAGGGGAGACGGAATGCCATTGCGTGTTTTGTATACGCTAGAGAGATGCGCCCAAGCCTCTGAAACGTTTTACGTGCGCCTGTAGAAGCTCCGATTGCAGGACAGAGAGTATGCCACGCAGTTGTGGCGTCAGGGCCGCGGTGGCTTGGTTGCCAAGCATGTAACTATAGCAGAAGGAAACTTCCTACAACTTTATAGGGGGTCTCTTTGCAGGTATCACGGAACGGAGGAGAATTGCAGTTATAACTTCTACAGGGCAAGAAGCGCAGCTACGACCTGCGGCCTTTGGCAGCCCGAATCGACGCGTCATGCAAAATGCCAGGCTTTCTTTGGTTCCAACACTTCCGCCGCGCGGGCGGGACTTCTGCCTGCCATCTACTGCAAGCTGCGGTTTCCCTCGGGCGCCTGGTCTGCGAGAACGAAGCTTAAACACGATCACAAAGACGACAAGAAGCATGGCCACGGATAATGCATGGCTGCCGTGGCTAAGTAGTTTTTCTGTTTCGTGGCACTGGCATTGGCAGTGATAGTGGTGGTATTAAATATCAGTCGTTGTACAACAGAGCTGTTTCTACCGTCGCTGTGTTGTGAAGCGGCCGTACATCGAAGCTGCATCACCAGTGCTCGATGACAGTGGTTTGTAGTCCACTCGACTGCCATTCGTGTTCCATTCTTCCTTGCGTAAAGGAAGAGTGGGCAGAATTGAGAACGCGTGACCGGCCAATAGAGTGAGTCCTTAGAGCCTTAGAGTTTCTAGAGACATGGATGTCCCGCTACTGGAACCTAGGCTTCTACTTTCAGATCCTCGCATTTTGTGGGAGATCTTGGGTAAAGGTCAGGGCCAACTGCAATCACATGGAGAGTAAAGATGTTCGAACATCTGTTGGTTCGGTGCTGACTTCTTTGCATAAGAACTTATGTAGTTCCTGCCCCAGGCGCTTCGTGTGGGCACGGAGCGAGGCTTGCCAGCCAGAGGCGGGAGCGAAACGTCTAATTGGGGGGGGGGGGTGGAGGAAAGGTGCCATTCCAGGTGAGGCTACTCATCTCAGATAATTAGTTACCTCTCATACCGTAGTAGGAACCTGCGATGTTTTGGTTGGCCATTGAGACATGGAGGCTCGCAAGTACGTATTGGCAATTGGCAAAGAAACACATGCACACAGGCTTCAGGGACGTAACTTGGTGTGTGTTGTTTAGTCGCGTGACGAAATCATGCGTATTCATGCTCACAGGTGCTTGCAGATATAATATAGGGCCTGTAATCAGTACCTATAGTATTTGGGTGGTTCCCTGGAATTAACAGTTAGAATAGAACATGCCCCAAAGCCCTTTATACTTGTCCGCGTCGTGCAGGTCAGACCCGACCATAACGTTACATTGCATGCTGCTGCATGAACTGTTGTGTTTGGCCTGCGTGTGTTAGTTATTTTGTCCCAGTGCGTTCCGAAGTATGTGTCCGGGTTGATGTGTGTATGATGTGTGTATGATGTGTATGTATATGTACGTACACTGTCGAGAGCGAGCGCCAAAATGCATATGTATGTTTATGTATGTATGTCGGTATGCTATGATATACATATACATAACATGTACATAGACGTATATACATACACATGTATGTATATGGTATATGTGTATGTACACGAAGTCTTGTGCGGACACGTGAAAGGTACTACAGGGCTAAAGTTCGAGCATCTCTATTATCACTATCGCTGGCCATTGCCGACAGGCCATCTCGCAACAAAAACAACTTCCTGCAGATGTTCGTGTATCTCCACCAGAGCTCCCAGCAGTCTATCAAGAGCCCTTCAAAAGCTTAACAACTTAACAGCCCATCTCGTGCTGCAGCTTGGCGTTGTTCTAGGCGAGTCTTATCCCGAAACGATTGATCTCCCATTGGCCAACGTTGGTTCTGATCACACAAAACGAGTCACAACCACAGCCCTCCGCCTCGCCTTGTGGCCGTGGAGGAGTGGAAGCTCCGCGATGCCAAGGCGCATCCGGCAGTTTCAGGGCGAATCCTGAAACCGGATCGTAGCGGACTTGAGGTCGAAGATGGTCGAAGGTTTGGGGCCACATGTCCCGAGGCTAGCGATAGACGGGTGAGGCTATCTTCGTGCAGCAAGGGTTTAGAGATGTGGCTTTCCTTTCAGGGTTCGTCGGCCCCGCGTCTCGCGTGTACTTATGGGTGGTTGTCAAAGTTAGAGTCCCTTTTTGGGTGCCCTAGATATTAGGTGCCGTGTTGCAATGGGGACCCGAAAAGGGACCATGATTTTGACAACTACGCTTATGTACTTCACCGGCAGGCAGTGGTCGGCCACAACCTTTCGCTCATCGCCCTGGAACTAGAGATCATGGGCGGAAATGCCTTCGCACAGGTCGGGAATTTTTTGAGCTTGAAATCATTGTGCCAGGTGGCGAGTCAGCCTGCATCCAGACCTCCTAGACCCAGCTAGAGCAAGAGTGGAGATAGATGCCAGCCTCGCAACCCCTTCACTGTCTAGGCAAGTGGCAGCAAATTCCCGAATTTACGAAACTCCCCAAGGCCTTGCATCGCTTGTTTTGTGTTATATGGCAGCTTTGAGCCTGCGGAAGCTTGCATGTTCTTTCCTGGCTTCACCTCACAGACACCCCTGAGAAGGGTGATGGTAGATTTTGTTTAGGCCGTAACATGCGTTGCAAATTTCCATAAACCCAAAGCCCCTCACTCTTTCTAGTGGACCCTTATTGCCTTAATGTAGATGTACAAAACCCTTATGCAAGCATCAGACCCTCAATGACCCTCATCAACCCTGTGAACCCTCGAGAAATCAGGAGTATGGCGCCCTAAACCCCAAACCGCCTAAATCCTCTAGCCCCCCCAAACCCGAAACGCTCCAAAACACAAATCCCCAAAACCTAAACCTCCTAAACCCGACACAACTCATCCTGAAACCTTGACCCTTACGCTTCCAGCATAAACCAGCAATCCAGGAGTATGGAACCTTGAGCCCTGTAAACATTTGGGGTTTTGGTTTCCTGTGGGCAGTTTGCGCTTGCAAGTTTGCTTCAGCGATACCAGCTGAGCTCCCTAAGGGAAGTGATTTGGCCAATGGGCTTGTCGATCGAACGCTGGCACCTCGCCAGGCTTGTCCCAGTTGCGAGTGCTGAGAGCCTATGAACATCTGCAAACCCAAACTGGAGGAGTATGGTGCCCGATACCCCGATACCATAAACTTTCTGAACATCTACACGCCCAAAATCCATGAGTAATGTGCCTTATGTACCAAATGCAGTGGACATTTAAAGCGTAAATCCAGTGTATGGAACCCTAAACTTGGCCCTAAACCCTGAGAAAAACACACCTCTCTACATAAACCCTAAAAATCCAGGAGTATGGTGCCATACCTGCCCAAGAGCTACTGCTCCGGCAGCATCGTCCAACAATGCGGAACTGGGCCACCTGCGCGGCAGGGTGATCATAAATACTAGGTATCGATTTGGGATAGTTTGGCCAGAAGCTTGTCACTGTTTTACACAGACTGCGCCCGATAGACCTCGCTTGCCTTGTAACCATGCAGGTTTTATGAGGTGTAGAGTCGGGAATTGTGTAGGGCTGTGGGTTTGGGGTTGACGACGGTTTCGGGCTTGGGGGTGTTTTGGGACCTTGGGATTCGGGACTTGCGGTTTTTGATTCGGCATTTGCCGTTCGCTGTGTAGGTCGTTCAGAAGAGTGGTAATTAAGAGCAAAACGCACCAAAAGGCCCGGGAACTGTGTCATGCAGTCTGGTATCAGTCGTAGTACCTGGCATCATCATGACAGTCGCGAAGGCGAAATCACTCGTGACCGCTGTGATTTTGCCCGCGTTGGTTGTTTCTGGTAGCTTTGCCTCATATAAGCTAGGCCCTAGCAGCTAGGCTCTTTGGATGGCGAACAAAGTTGGGCTTTCAATGACCACGTTTCTAGACTTCCGACTGCAGCCTAGGTTTTCGTGACGGCTATTCGCGATCCATGGTCAAGATTCTGGAGCCAGCTCAGGCCTCTCCACGACCCGTTTCGAGCCGTTTGAAGCTTAGGGCTTGGGGCCTTTGCCCAGATGCCATGCGTATGAGTTCCTGGGAAGCACCTCACACAGCGTTCTGTAAAGGGAGTACCGGAATCTTGTCTGAACCCCTGCAGGTATGAGCTCGCACCCTGCATTGCCACAACGCAGGAACTTGCAGTCTGCATGGCTGGCAACCATCATCTCTTAGGTCGGGGATCAAAATAGGCCAAAAGCCTTATATAGTATGGCCGTTGGGCCCAAAATACTTATAATTAATGAGTTTATAGATCCCCAGGGTGAGACAGTGCAGTCTCCATTACATGGTCCGCATGATATCTTGAAGCCCGAGACCTGAGATTATGTCACGGGACTAGTGACTAGTGGTCTCTTGTAGAGCAAGCACTTGTGAGGGCCTGTCACAGTACTCTTGCACGGGGTTTAGCAATCTGTTGAATCTGTCTGTCTGTCTGTCTATCTATCTGTGTGTTCATGTACTGATTCATATTTATTCATTTACACATACGTACATACATGCTGCATACATACATACATACATGCATACATGCCGCAAGTGAACCCATGTACCTGCAAATACATACTGCGACGAATGCAGATTTTCGCAGACACACACACACACACACACACATACACATACACACATCTGCAAGTTCACGTACATATGCGCGCCGAGCTTCATGCTTGGTACGCTCTGGCTCTGCTGCCCTGAAGGCTGGTGGTGGTCGCCCACCGCACACATCGACAGTGTCCTTGGGGTGCCAGGTTTTCGGCTTTCCGAAAGCCCGCATGTCTATTCGGAGAACTACTACACGCGAGTTCTGCTAAATCGCACAGACATGGAGGGCCCGGAGCTGACGAAGGGTGACTACGAATTAGCCAAGTCCCTACTTTTCGATCGCATGTCCACCGTCATCATCACAGAAGACTTTGCAAGAAGTGCCTTGCAGCTTGCCTGCACGCTAGGCCTCGACTTGGAAACAGCCCAGCCACTGCTGCGGACGCGAGTGAGACCCTACGAGCTGCACCAAGCCATGTTGGACATTCCAACAGAGTCCGAGCTGGGACCCAGTGATGTTGAAGCTTTGAGGCAGAGATTCGCGAAGAAAAACAGCTTTGACTACAGCCTCTACTCCCATGCTAAGCGTCTCTCCAACGCGCGCTTGGCAAAGTGTGCCCGGAGAAACAGCCGGGTGGCTGAGCTAAAGAACGCACCGATCCAGGAAGAACCATCATCTCCGCCCCCAGCCACTGAACACCCGCAGCTTTCTGTAGACGAGCTTTTCGGATGCACCAATGGTAGCGTGGTTGAGACCGCAAATGGACAATACATGCTACATTGTCCCAGAAGTGTCCAGCAGAGAAGGGATTCTTGGTGGTCGCGGCTTGGCGCGCCGAAGCGGCAAGTGGGGCAAAGACTACCGGGAGATCACTGTTGGAAGCAAGGCTTTACCTATGGAACTTGCTGTGACACCGTTGCCTTTGGGCCGGAGGGGAACGCGAATTGCTGGGACGATGCCCACAACTTCACGACATGCTGCAAAGAAGCATTGGCGATGGCGGAGAGTCAATTAGAAAAGGCGCTTGTGCAATTCGACATGCAAAGACCAGAACTGGTAAACGACAACTGCAAGTTCCAAAGTGTAAATCCTTCTTGGCACGTAAACAGAGTGCTAGTTGCAGGTAGTCCATATACAGCCACTGTGAGGATTAGCTTGAGTTTACTGTGGGGCCACGACAACAGATTGCGGGAGCACCAGGAAACTATCACCACTTCGACTACTAGAATCGATTATAGCAACAGGAAATAGCTGCTGCTACTTCGACGTCTGCCAAAGTCTACCATTGCCTCATGTACTTTCAATATACCCGATTCCCCGAGTCAGTAGAGGACATTGAAGGGTCTCGGAAGAACCACCCATGCCACCTACTATTTTGGTGGTTCCTTATTATAATTATAGTATAACGGGCCCTAACACCCTATTTCAATTATTAAGGCCCCTACACTCGCCTGCTTAGCAAGAAACGCAAGAAGCTCCTCATGACCTATAAGCCCGAGTCTGGCTGACGTCAATCCTTCGAGTGTATTCACACCCAGTGACTATCTTGCAGGGCTAAGTTAACTGTGCAGCTATTGTGGGACCCTGGGGTTTTGGCTATTGTGGGACCTTGGGGTTTTGGCCAGCGAGCCAGGAGGCACTGGTTCCTCGCTGGCAGCTTTCTGCGCCGAGCCTCCCGCAGAGGCCGTTTCTGCTGTCCGAGTCCACTCTGAGGGATGCATGTCGAGGCCTTGAAAGCCCGGACCTGAAAAGAAGCACGGTTTTGGCTTTGGGGTTTTGGGTTTAGGGTATTCGAGGGATTCTGGCCGGGCGAGCACGAATCAAACCTGTGGTAAAAAGGGTATTCGAGGGACTGAAAGCGAAGCGGCCAGTCAATATTTAAATCCTCGTTCAATCGAAGCAGATGCACTGCGAGCTGAAATCTCCGAAGCGCGTCGATGCTCCTGCCCCGGCTTCAACATTCTACATGATTGGCTGATGAGCTTTGAAGTGTCTCCTGTAGTGACTCCAGAGTCGGAGTTGCGAGAGCCTCAACTCACTGTACTTCATATAAAACCCAAAGCCCGTAAACTTGACCCTAAATCCTCAATAGCAGTCGTCCCGCACCGGAGCTGAACAAGCCTAGTGTTCTGAGTTGAGTCACGAGAGGCCAAACTCTAAACCCCTCCAAAAAACTCCGAAATCCTGAACCCCCAAACCCTCCCGAAACCCCTGCCCCATCTCGAGCCCCATACACCCGAAATGTCAGGCCTCATCACTTCCTCCCGCTGGGCGCTGTGCGTGGGTCCGGTGCGGCCGGAATTGTGGTGGTCGAAGTGCAGCTCCCTCAGAGGTAACGCAGGCTGGGGTGATACTACAGTACCACTTGTCGTTATTCAAGTTATTGCTACCTACTAGGTTACTACTCTTACATCTGCCATTGCTTTTATTCTGCGCTAATACTGTCAACATAGCTGCTTGTGAAGTGGTCATTATTCTATGTGGCTATCAGCTGGAAGAAGGCTCATATAGTCGAGAACCAAGGCATGTGGAAGACATGCGCGTGACTGGTGGGCTGGAGGCCGACATCGTGGTATCATCGCAGGCTGGTGGGGCAACCTCTGTCTGTCGAAGACCTGGTTTGCAGAAGTAAGCTGTGCGGCACGCATAGAAGTCATCCGTCTGTAATACCCTGTAAACCCTAATACTAACACTGAGCGGAGCGGATTAAATTGTTTTTGTCAGCCTTGAAGGACGAGACGCCCCAGCGAAGATGATGCTTGCAAAAACGAGTTCGAGGCCCGCTGGGTGGTGTTTCAGGAATGTTGCCAGGGCATGTTGGTTCAAGGGTCTTTCAAAGGTTCTGTCCGGAAGTAGGATGGGACATAATCGGGGTTTCGAAGGGTTACTGGTCTAGTGATGCGTGCTTGAGTTCGCTTTCTTGCATGCGCAAACCCTCAACCTTAGCTGATCCTGCCACGAAGTGTGGCGTAAGACCAGGACCGTCCTTACGGGTCTGCCTCGCTGTCCCGACGGAGAGCCAACCCCGAAATCGAAGCCTCAAAGGTTTGACCCTTTGAGTTCTAACCCTGTCTTATGGCCTCTGGAGGTCAGCTGCACCGACCTGGCGTTGCCCAGTCCTTCCTGCAGCCAAAGCGATGCCGCGGAAAGACCAAAATGACTCTCTCAAGTCGGTTGAGTAACAGAGACTATCCCTAAGACTATTCCTACACCCTCAAGCTCTTGCGGACTTAAAGCGCTTCACTTCCGGATGGCCTTGATGAGTGAGTAATGTCGCAACAGTGTCAGTCAGAGTCCTTCAATCCGGCTGCATATCTGAAAAGGCTTGTTTTTTTTTGGGAGTCCTGTGCAGGTTTGGGTCAAGGGGCTCGGGTCGTGACCCGGGTTGCGGATTGCTTGTAGCATGTTGTTTCAGGAATCCGAAGCTGAGCAGGGACTCCTTGACGGGGCTTGCACGCAATGGAGGGGATGTCCCTTTCAGCTGAAAGGGGATGAGGCAAACTCGCCACTCTGAGAAGAGCCCGTGCCAGTCCACGCATGCAGCTCTGAAGCTTGGAATCCGACATGACGCAATATAGGGGCCTAAAATGATTACCTTTTGGGGGTTCCTTATGAAAATCCATAGTGTAATGGGCCCCCAAACCATATTCTAATTAAGGCCCCTATATTACTTGACAACAGCGCGTGCAGGGAGCCTTGAAGATCGGCAGCAGCTCCTTCGGAGGGCGCTTCTGTACGCTCCTTAATTCGAGAACTGTGCATTTGGTTTTCGGGGGCCGATCATTAATGCGTGCGGGAAAGGTGGGCTTCCAGAAAAACTGAGTACTTGTGTAGTTTTGTGCCAGGTAGTGATAGTGCCAGAGTTTAGTTTTAGTTCTAATCATCGCCAAAAGTTGATGTGACGCAGCTAGCAGTCTCTGAAGATTGCCCTGAGGTTTCAAAGGAGGTTTGCACAGGAGCGAGCCTTTCAACACCAAGTGCCGGCAGGTCCAAGAAAATCTATGGCGCCTGGCGGCGAGCTCCGGGCGACCTGCTGCCAGGGCCACATGGAGTTCGGAGGTTCCAGCCATTTCGGATGTTCACTCCTCAAATACTGCTAATGTAGGGGCCTTAATAATTACCTAAACTATTTTGGGGGTTCCTTCTTATAACAAGTTTGATGGGCCCCAAAACCCTATTCTGATCATTAAGGCCCTAATAGTGTGCCAGAGCACGGAGCTGCCGAGTAAAGACAAAGGCTTCGCCTCAACTTCGCAGCGAAGGGCCTCATCAGCTCTCAGGATCCTTGCAGCAGTTGCAGATTTACATATTATGTGTGTGTATATATATATATATATATATATATATATATAAATAGAGAGAGTATTTGTAGTAGTTTATATATATATATATATATATATATATATATATATAGCATTTGTATGTATATATATATATATATACATATGTGTATATATATATATATATATTTATCTTTACCTGGGGGACCTTAGCAGCCAGCTCTGGCGACTTCTGTCTGCCAGGAGGCTCCGGCAGAAGAGGTCTATGCCGCAATGAGGCACTACGCTGGAAGGCAGGGCTTGTACCTGTTTGATACAGGACTGAAAATTGTAGATAGCACCTGCGAGTGTGAAGAGCTGCTGTAGTTGTCTGTCAATTAAGACCCTTCGACGTTCCTTGAAACGCAGGTTGTGCTTGCCCAGCTGGAGGCCTGCTGCCCAAAGAAAGGCTTCTTCAACACCTGTTGCAGGGTGCTCCTGAAGGCTTGAAGACGATATTCGTACTTCCCGGCAGACTTCTTCAGTCTTCAAGGTTTGATTCTCCTGCACATGCCCGAGGTCCTACAATGGCTACGTCGCTTCAATTCAGGACAACGTGAACCGGAAAGGGTGGCAATGGGCAGAGCTTACTGAGAAAAAGGGGCCTTGCCATGCTTGTGTTGCTCTCGTTGGCGTGCTCGACTCGCGGCATTTTGTGACCCTTGGTAGACTATTCGGGTGAACATCGGCCCCTGGCAAAAACTTCTCTATTCCGTGGGAGAACAATAAACCCGAAACCCTATAAGCGATTTTGGTTCAAGCCCTCTCAGCAACAAGCTGTGCTATTCCTTCTCTTCGCTGCAATTCCGTCGCCATGGCTGCAGTATTCCCGGCCAATCAGGTCATCGTGGTCGGAGGCGGCCTGGCAGGCATGTCCGCCGCCAACACCGTAGTGGAGCTTGGTGGCCGCACCATTCTGTTGGACAAGTCTTCCTTCTGCGGAGGGAACAGCACCAAGGCCACCAGCGGCATCAACGGTGCTGGGACCAAGACGCAGAAGGGAAAGTCCATCCCGGACACGGCGGAGTGGCTGGGTCGCTTTTGCTTTTGGGTTCCTTTCAGGGCTTCGGGGATCTATAGGGGCTCTGTCAGATTCTGTCAGGCTTTAGTCATGCGGATGTTCAGGGTTTGATGCTTGTTTGAGTGTGTGTTTTCAAGGTTTGCTTAGCAGAATCATAGTAGAAGAATGCTCCAACCCCCGTTCCAAAACTTAGGTCCCTATATTGCAGTTATTACATAGACAGTCTTATCGTACGGATGTTTTGGAGCGCACCTGCTATGAGGATCTTCATCGCGGACACCCTGAAAGGCGGCGCGAAGAAGCCGGAGCTTGCCAAGGTGCTGTGCGCCAACAGCGCTGCGGATGTTGACTGGCTCGTGGACAAGTTCGACCTCGATCTCTCCCTCGTCGCGCGCCTGGGAGGGCACTCCCAGCCCCGCACGCACCGCGGCAAGGAGCGCTTCCCAGGAATGACCATCACCTATGCATTGATTCAGATGCTGGAGAAGGTTGCAGAGAAGACGAACCGAGCTCGCATCGTCACGAAGGCTGAGGTGTACAAGCTCCTCGTCAATGCCGGCACCGTGGTTGGCTGCGAGTACAAGAAGGCCGGCAAGACCGTCAAGGAGTTCGGCCCCATGGTCCTCGCCTCCGGCGGTTTCGGTGCTGACTTCGGAGCCGATTCCTTGTTGGCCACCTACCGGCCGGACTTGCTCCATCTCCCCACCACCAACGGCGAGCACTGCACTGGTGATGCCATCAAGATGGGAGAGGCCATCGGTGCAGCCACCATTGACCTCGAGTGGGTCCAGGTGCACCCAACCGGTTTGGTGAAGCCGGACGATCCCGATGCCAAGGTGAAGTTCTTGGCCGCGGAGGCCCTTCGAGGTGTTGGTGGCATTGTCTTGGATGCCAACGGCGACCGCTTCTGCAACGAGTTGGGGCGACGTGACTATGTCACTGGAGAGATGTGGAAGAACAAGCCACCCTTCCGCCTGTGTTTGAACAAGGCTGCAGCCGATGAGATCATCTGGCACGCCAAGCACTACACCGGCCGCGGTGTCATGAAGTTCTACGCCTCGGGCGAGGACTTGGCAAAAGACATGGGCGTCCCCCTGCAGAGGATCGTGGATGCCCACCAGAAGCACTTCGAGGCAGCAAAGAAGCAGGAGAAGGACCCCGAAGCAGACTGCGTCGTCAGCTGTTGCTGATTGCGTGAGCGTCTTAACCCTGTTATGTTCTTGTCAGAATTGGCAGGTTGTCGCTTACATTGTATTCTTGCCCGAAGGACCCCGACGGCGGCCCCTTCCCTGCTTACCCGTCCGGCAAGACCTGGGACGAGCCCAGCGGCAAGACGGGCAGCGGCAAGAAGTTCTTCCACAACATCATCGATGGCTCTAAAGTGCCTACCGAGCCTTTCTACGTGGCGATCATTACTCCCGTGATCCACTACTGCATGGGTGGACTCGAGTGCACCGTGGACGCCGAATGCATTGACAAGAAGTCGGGCAAGGTCATTCCTGGACTTTATGTTGCTGGCGAGGCAGCTGGTGGCATCCACGGCAACAACCGCCTGGGTGGCAACTCTTTGCTGGACTGTGTCGTGTTTGGCCGAGTTGCTGGCAAGGCCGCCTGCAAGTTCACCTTCGGTGCCGGCGAGAAGTTCAAGCCTTGCCCTCCGCCGGGCGAGCTGAAGGATTTGTGCAAGTGAGGGCACCGAGTTTCATATTTTAACGACAGCCTCCGCATGCTGGTCATTGTGTTTGGTTGTAACCCGTGCAATTGTTCAGCATGTAGCTCTATGTCATCGTGTGTCTGGTGGCCGGAAGACGCTGCTTCAATTCCCAAGTTGTTTCACTCAGCCGACTCATGACCACATGCCCCTCGCCTGGATTGTCCGAGTGCGAGCGCCGAAAACCCGAAACGTCAAGTATTTCTACAGTTTTTTTACAGTTTTACAGGTGAATCTGACTTCTCAAGGAGAGAACTCCAAGTGTTCGTCCTGACCACAAAAAAGTCCTCGGAAAGCTCACGAAGACCTCAGGTGCCCCTGAGCGCTTCGCGGGTACCGGCACCATGGTCCAAGCCCAAGAAGGAGCCAGGATCTGCCTACCTTTGTGTGCTTGAGCAACTATAATAACAGGCTTGTGGGGACAACGTGCTTTTACCACCTATATAATTTCTATATATATATATATATATATGTGTGTGTGTGTATATCTGAATGTATATGCACATATTTTTATGAGGATTACAAGGGGATGCCATCGCAGATTTATCTGACACCGAAATAACAGATCCAGGTAAGACGAGACCATTAAGAGGCATTGGAGTTCTCCTTAGCTACCGGCTTTGTGGGGTGACGGCAGCGGGAGTGTGCACTGAGCATGCTGCATGCTTGTTGCGGAGCAGCTGCCTGCATGGCGGAACCGCTGTAGACCTGCACGTCACGCTCGAAGGCATTGGTCTCACAGTGCCGTGCCCAAGTGTGAGAGCGTAAGCCAGACATCCGGCCCCAGTCCCGAGACGTTCATGGACTTGCATGGACTTGTCCTCTTGAGGCGACGCCTCACTGGGGACCAGTTCCGGCAGAGTGTGAGCTCACAAGGGCTGCAACTCAGCTGCAAAGATGGACTGATGGACTACGAATCCTATTGCTACCTCTTCACCTCAGTCACTGTCCTTTCGACTTCAGTGGTTGTCTTTGGGCCGGTTTTGGGGAGTCTTCTCTTGGCTCTCAGGTTCGACTGACCATGGAGTGATCCCGAAGTGTCCTCGGAGGGGTCCTTCACTGCAGGATCTTCATCACCACAATATGTCTGTGTATACAGTGTATACGTGTTTGTTTAAGTAGGTACTCGTTTACCTGCAGTTACTGGCTTGTTTGCCTGCACGCCTTCCCTTCTTTGCTAAAGTTCTTGGCTGAGGCGTCCAGTATGTGTATACTTGTTCATTCATGTAAATATTCGTTTACCTGCAGTTGCAGGCTTATTTGTGAAGTTCTTGGCTGAGGCGTCCCCTGCTGGAGGAGGCTGGAACAAATGTGCCAGTCTGTCCAGATTGTTTTGGAAGAGTGCATAGTAGACACGTGGGCTTTCCTTACTGACTCGACCTTAACGAAGACACTTCTTGTGGTTTTGCTTTTCTAGCTGCATCATGTTTGGCGAAGAGCGGCCGAGATTTTCGCAAATGTCATTCGCCCCCATGCCTTGACGTTGTGAGCCGAGCCGAAGATGAGGAGATGCGAATTTCTTTAGTTGACAGCCCCAAGCTATTCAACACCATAGTTGGCCCTTCCGTTTTAGAGCTTGTTTCCCGACGCCCACTCTTATTGCTATTGCTACTGGTCATACTGCCTTTACATATTTGTCCTTTGGTGTTATGATGATGATCACTATTAGTACAACATTGTTCGTGTTATTCTTATCATATGCTTGTTATCATCATCACAAGCCCGCAACCACTGATCGACTTTTGGGAGAGGCGGGTGGCCTGATCCAAGTAAACAACTTCTTGTCGGCGGAGCAAGCAGAGGACGCGCACCCGAAGGTTTTCTTTGAAACGGTCCGGTATACGGTTGGAAGGGCCTAGAAGGGCAACATGTATGCAACAAGTGGTTTTGGGGCTCCACAAAAGAAAAGCGTTGATGAGAGGTTGCTATCCGCCCCAAGGAGACGCTGCAGATGCTGCAAGGCATGTCCCAGGAAGAGCCGGGGTCTCGGAAGATGGGAGTCGCTGATTCCAAATCCTAAACCTGCAGGGCCGAAACCCGTTGACGCCCGGTCCGGCATAGGTTGGCGTGTGCCCGAATGAAGAGTCTGCTCAGAATGCGAAAGCATGAGAAGGTCGTTGTTCCACGGAATCGTCCACCTCGTCCAAGGCAGAAGGCAAACCAACCCAGTACATGGTCCTCGTGTGGTCCGCCTATAATTGTGGACCACATAGACGCACAGCTTCCTTTCACTCAAAGTACGGGAGCACTCATTGCAGGAGGTAACACTTGGCATGAAAAGCACCTCCTGGCGTATGAAAATAAGCCGATGTGTTATCCAGCTGAGTCTAGCTCACAGCCACAAGAGGGGAGTGGGTGCAAAAGTGGCGCATTTTCCGAAAGTACATGCCAGTTCCATGCGAATTAAGGTGGGTTCTCTCGGAGAACAAAAGCTCGGTGGATGCAGACCATCATTTCTGGAGGCCACGCTGCGTTCGTTTTCCTGCATCTAGCAGTCGCAAAGGCCCTTGTAGAAGTATAGTATCCCCGGTAGTAGTGTTATAGCCTGATAGCACGTAACCTTAAAGAAAAGAAGCTGTGACAACTCAGGGGTCACCCCGGAGTCAAAGCTGCTCTTGTCCCCGATGCACCTGGGGGCTGAAGCCGGTATTGAAGCTAAGGTTCTTGCTCTTGCCCCCTTGATGCGTCTGCAGACCTTTCACAGCCGAACTTAAGCACTGAGACCTCGTGTTGCACAGTCACAGGTTGAGTTGCCAGACCGTGAGACCCCATTTTTGATTTCATTGGTGTTTCTCATGTTATGATTGTTGTGATTGCCATTAGTATTGTTATTAGACTATTATGTATTATCGATAGGTATTACCACGTAATGAGATGATTGTATTATATACATAATTTATATATATATATATATATGCATATATACACATACATATACATATACATATACATATATATATATATATGTGGTGTATATATATATATATATATATATATATATATATTAATTATTGCTATTGTAGTATCGATATTCCCGCTTCTGGTCCTCGGCCCGGGGGCCCGACCGACCGGGTCTGCAGCATTTCCGCCGAGCGCACGCCACGCCATAGAAGTAGATTGGGACTTAGACTTAGTTGTTACTGAAGTAATTGATAGACCATGTATTTTTTTTGTATTTTAAAGCAAAAAATGAAACAAATTCATTATATTGGGTGTATAAACTTGTATAAACCTCCTATAATGACTCATGACAGTATGAGGATCGTGGTCGCTAGCTGCAATACTTCACTGAGACTAAGCAGCCCGGGTTCGATACTGCTGGCGTCCTTGCAACCTTAGCTCAACCGTTTTAAGGCGATCGACCCAAAACCATTCTGAGAAACCGAGCTGCAGGTACGAGGGAGCGAGGCTGGACGGCATCAAGGCCCTCATGCAGGAGCCGTCAACCGCAAGCCCGCGGCCACACGGAACATGCTGACCGTAACTAAGGAAATGTGTGATGACACGGCATCAGCAGGCAAGAAGCGATTCCCACCCCCTGCTACTTGCCTCGTACCTTTGTTCTTCGCTCCGCTTGCCCGCAGCCTCTCCATCTCAAGGCAGGCGGCGTTCTTCTGGAAGTTGGCTCACTTCGGTTCATATGGAAACACATGATTGAGGGCATGTTGATGTTATCTTGAACACCGACGTTCCTCTCTGTAAAGTTGAAGTCCAGCATAGGAGCGTGGGTCCGGGTTGGTCAGCGCGCCAGATCCTTCGCCCCGGCCTCCCTGCGGCTTGCAAGGCATCCCTGCAAGCAGATTCGTGTGTGCTTCCGTAGTCTTGCCTTTTTAGCTCGGCCCTGGGAGCACCACGATCTTATGCAAGAGATCTTCCCTTGAGCATGGCTAGCAAGGTGTTGCGCTTATGAGCTTCTGGCTCAGCTTATGTTTGTTTTACTGAGTCCTATTTGACGGTTTGAGTTCAAGTAATGACTTCTGCAGTGCGTTGCCGGTTCCCAAAGGAGGAAGAAAGAGACTGTGAAGATGATATGATCGCTATGATGCCTAGCTTACGTGAAGATTATGAAGATGACGTCGGCGCCGGCACTGGTGCTGTTGATATTGTCCGCAATGATGATGTTACGAAAACGACAAGGAATAGGACTTACCGACTGCTTCGATGACGACGTTAGCAACCGCAGGTAAAAATAGTTACAGTTGCGGACACCACAGCCACATCCTGCTTCTGGCTGCTACTACAGGAAGCTGTGATGGCGTCGTACTGTAGTCGTGCTGATGTAGTAGTGCTGGAACTAGTGCTAGTACTGGTGCCCGCCACAGTCGACGAGCCCCACGACAAGGCACCGCCAATAATAGTTACACTATCGCCACAATCTAGACTCCAGACAGTATTGCCACAGGTTGCTACGGAATGCAGCGCGAACTACATCTCGCATATCCTACTGTACCGTGTTGTTGGCGTTGGCGTTGTTGTTGGCCTTGTTGGCGTCGTTGTCGTGGTTGTCGTTGTCGTCGCTGTTGTCGCTGTTGTCGCTGTTGTTGGTGTTGTTGTTGTTGCCGCCGCACCTGCGCTGCCACTGAGATGACGCTTGCCGCTCCACTTCTTGTGATGGCGTTCAGTTGTTGATGCTCCTGTCCATGTTGCTGCAGGCTGTTGCTGCTGCACGCATTGCTGTCAGCCTTCACAGGTCCGATGGCACCAGTAGCTGGCTCGAAGTTTGCGCAGCTGGTGGAACTCCACGACGGCCAGGGCCACAGGTGAGAAGAGTAAATGGACGCAGAGCTTGAGTTTTGATGTCTGCACCTGGCATGCGGCATGCGCCTTGCAGCAAGAGAAAGGGCTCAAGCAGCTCGAGCAGTTGCTTCCCTTCGCTGCGGTGCTTTGAATGCCATGCTCCCGCAGATCCTCAGCAAGATGCGCGTGCTGGATGCTGCTGCTAGAAACGGCACGGGCGCTTCTAAAGTGCAAAGTACCGATTATGATGGCCCCCCACTTAACATTTTGCTCGTGGGCTCTACCGGGCATGGCAAGAGTGCATTGGGCAATTTTCTACTGAATCCTACCTTGGAGCACATCTGGGAAAACCAGACCTTTCAGGTGGGGGACTGTCGCGAATCATGCACACAGAGCTGCTCTATCGAGAGTTCACCGAGTGGCCGGGTGAAGGTTATGGACACACCGGGCCTCAACGAGAGCCATGCACGAGATCTTCCGAACATGATCAAAGTGGTGAAGTCGGCACAGCAGCTGGATAATGTACATGCAGTGATACTTGTCATGAAAGTGGATTTTCGCATGGATCAGACGTACAAGGACACTCTCCTGTACTACCAGAAGCTGCTGACACCAAAGGTCTTCAATGCGAACCTGATCATTGTCTTGTCCGGCTTCAATCCAGGGTCGAGGAAGTTCCGGCTGAAACCCCAGCTGGAAAAAATAAATCTTTGACCAGCGCGCAGCTGACGTCAAGCAGCTTCTTGACTTGCCGAAACATCCCATGGTGTATGGCATTAACTCCTTGCCCGAGATGCCGGAGGAATTGGACGAGTCAACAAGAACTCGCAACAGAATCTTACGATCTGCGGCCGTGAACCTGGCTCCAGCTCCACTACGTGGTCTCAAAGCTCCCAAAACGTATGCTGCAGAGACGCTGCGCATGACAAGAGCATCAGGCAAGGAGGGTCAGATAACGCAGAAGCAGGAAACCCTGAGCAAGCTCATGAATCTGCCTGATCCGGTCAAGCTTCAAATGAAAGCGCATCAGGACGATGCAGACCATGCTGTGCAGAGGGTACGATCTCTGAAGGATGAAATTCGGCAGCTGGACTCTGCGGAATTGGAGGTGTTGGCGCAGTGGAGCACCGACGCTCCTACTCAACAGATCAAAGCCGACCATGACGAAAATGGGTATAGGGTCATCTTCTACGGGTACAAGCGAGACAAGCATGCAAAAGCACTTGTCCAAAAGCGTGCCGAATTGCAAGAAATGACGAGGCAAAAGAATGATGCACTGGTGAAGATGCAGGAGCTTGCTATGAAGTATCCGGAGCTTGAGAATCCATTGCTCGCACAGATCGACTCGGAGATCCGTAGGTTGGAAGAGGAAGTTCGCAAGCTGAAGAGCCCCTTCTTCGCCACAGTGGAGGAGGCGATTGCCGTAGCTGACAGCATTGCAGAGGGGGAGGAAGACTGAGGATCGTTGTGACCACAGCTTTCAAGAAGGCTTCCCGCCCTGGTGCAGCTGTTTTTCATGCAGTGTACGCGTGCAGAGGTTCTGCACACACCACGATTGGCGGGGCATTGCAGGGACTAGTGTAGGCTCTTACAGCTGGATTGAGAGGTCCTCGAAACCACAAGGTGCAAAGCAAAGCCATCCCGCAATGCTCCCGTGAATCACCTGAGCCGGCGGCAGTTACAGTGCCTCACGATGCTTCCTGCAAGGGTGATTCAGTTGTACAGCCAGTGCGGCCAAGTGATGACTGCTGGATCTTGGGCATAAAGGGATTGCATGCACGTGCCGTGGACAACAGTGCCGCGCCCCCCCTCATCATCCTCATCATGCCTGCAACGAGCATGAACAACAGCACTGCATAGGATGGCTAGTCGCAGAGCGGTCTCACAGTCACCACTCAGCCGAAACTGATCCCATCGCAGCTCAGGACAGGTCGCACAACTCACCGAGGAGAACGCTCGATTGCGGAAAGAGAATCAGTGGCTGGGCCTGGGAGCATAATTTCAGGAGTTTGGCCGTTCAATTCCGAGATCAGGGTGCGCTGGCTTGCGTGCCAAGTGCAAGCTTCAGCAGGGCTTGCCTGTACATCGTAATCTGTCATTTTGCTTGCGAGGGCATCCCGAATGGGTCATGTTGCTATATACCTGTTTCTACCTATGGCTTACCTTGTTTACGTGCCGCGCGTCACCGTGCGGAAGCATGGTCTCGTCGTTCGAGCAGTTCGTCATTTGGATAAATCACAGTTCTGTAGGACAGTCGCGGAAGCGATACGGGCTGTCGCGTCACTAAAAGCAAATCGCATCGCTATCATCACTCATCACGAATTCTCGTGCAGGTTCCTGCGGGTGCAGCTGAAGTTGCCGGAGCAGTTTGAGCTGGGCTCCCACATCGGTAGGAGGGTTCTCGGGAGACTTCAAATATTGGCATCGAACATGTCAATGTGCTGTTTTCGTCCTTGGCAGCCTTTGAGCCAGAGCTTTCGGGCGAAGAGTCCACAGATGCCTCCAATGTAGGCAGAGCCAAAAGTTGCAGAAAGCAAGGGGCCCCTGACAGACTCAGAAGATTCAGGCTGGAGATCGATCAGCCGGAGTTTTCTGAAGAGGCTGCAGACGAGGCGCAAGAGCGAGCTGAAGTAGGAACCGACATATTGCTTCGCGGAACACAGTGGAACTAGGTGTTGGCAGCATTCAAGGCAAACTTGATCGTGCCAGTCTTCGCAAGAGTGAAGCGAATGAGACATGATGTACAAAATTTTAAACCACACGGGTAGAACATCGAGTTACGCACCGCTGAATTATGCCTGGGCTTGCACATACATGCATACATACGTATATACGAGTCGGCTTTTCCATTTCTCTTCCATGAGCTTTCCACAGTGCCTGTTTCTGCCTGAGGTGCTCCCAGAGTTCTCAAAGGACCGGGCATCTGTGTTGAAAAGAGCTGGGGTTCTGGAATATTCTCAGTAGATGTTTGCGTACGAGTGGGAGCTTCTCGTTTATCAGGGCTGAGCCTCAGTGCCACAGTATACCACAGGGAATCCCGGACATTGCAGACCTTCCGGGTCCCAGGAGAACTCCGAGCTGCGCGTCAGCGTGAATGTAAAGCGCATCAGCACTGTGAGCCTCCCCCGGCTCAGCTTGATCAGCGGTGGCCAAGCTGGAATCAGGAATCAGAAAACCTATGACAACGAAGCCTTCCTCGGCAATAGAGCTTCCTGGAGTATCCTCGCACGAACCAGCTAGAGATTTTGGGGGGCAGGGGATTGTGTAGAGCAGTTTTGACTCCATCATTCTTGTAGTTCGTCTCAATTCGTTAAGACTTCCAGCATTAGTCTTCGAGTCAAATGCTTTTCAATCCTGCAAGATGATTGCCTGTCGCATCTGCCGCCACATGGTGCCTGACAGTTGGCAGAGTTGGACTGCACAAATCTTGCAACATCCGGCGTCGAACAAGAAGCTCCATTCCTTGCAACAGCACAGCCAGGTAGAGGAACATGTAACACGAAACTCATGAAGGTAGGCAGAGCTCCGGCTCAGTTGCTTGACTATGAGAATAGTGGCGACTTTCGGTTGCCAGTGTTCCTAGTCGACTTGTTGGTGTTTGTGCCGACTTACAAACTACAGTACTGACTAGCGCTGCGCATGTTACCGGCTGGTTTCGACTTCTGCTGTTTGCCTGGATTGTGCCTTTCTACAAGGGGTAATCGTTTGTCATGGACCATATTCGGGCTTCCTCGCTTTTGGCTAAACTCCACGAATTTTAGCAGCAGGTCCACCTTGATTAACAGTCAAAGAAGGATAGCATAAGCAGCAGAGATAGCAACAGTAAGAATAGCGCTCACATTTATCATCATCGTCATCCTCGTCATTATCATCATCACCATTCTCGAAACTTGATCTCCACATGTGACTGCGTCCTTCATCGGCCTTCTTGTCCTCACATGAACTCAGGGTATTAGGGCCACGCAGAGCTGTAGAGCCTTCATGAAAAAAGAGAAGAGAAAAAAGCATCTTCCCCTAAATCCTAAACCCTAAACTTCGCCATTTTGGCTCAAGCGTCCTGCACTCCAAGCACACGGTATCGTATTCCGCGGCCTCCCTGGCAATCTCAGTCCTTTTGACCGCAAGATGCTGGCTTCTATCAATGCAGCCATTGCTACCGCAGCGCCTATCGTGAATGGCTTCAACGGGTCTGCTGGACTGGTCAGCTTGGCTGAAAATATCAGCCATATAGACGTGACATCAAAGCTCGTGATCAACAACAACGAGGTCTGCCTTGGCCAAAGCTTGGCGCTCCAAGCCATCGAGCTGATTGGATTAGCTCCAGGGGCCCCTGCAGTGGGAGCCGTCACTCAAGCCCATTTCGACACATTCCGCACGAAATGGGCGGATACCTTGGGCGTATTTCAGCTGTACACTGTAGCTGCTGCTGGGGGGGTTTGGACGCCTGCGTACAGAAACGCAGATGTTCTGTCCTTGGCAGCTTACACCGCGCGGGCAGGGAACAACGCAGCGGTGTTCGAAGGCTTTGCAGCAGGGCTAATTGCCCACTTCCAGGCAGATCAAGCAGCTGCGGCGGAGTTTTCTGGGCACGCACACTTCATTGCGCTTAACGTGGTTAGAGCCAGCCATCATCGGATGTTCAGTGATGGCCACAACGGCTACACGCAAGACACCCAGAACCCGGCCAAACGGTCGCACAGCATTTGCGCTCTGGCTGGGGCTTCCAAAGATGCTTCCGTCCAGTGGTTGTCAGTGAACAATCGGTGCCACGACATGCACCACCACCTGACACATCAAAGCCTGTCTGAGTTGGCTGATGGTGTGATCTTCAGTGCGGGTGCCCCGGGTGCCATCAATGTGCCTATTGGCACTGTCGTTAATGGCGCTGCAATCGCAGTCGCCACCACTCTCGCAGACATTTGCCAGCCAGGTGAAGCGGCAGTGGATCGACATCCTTTTGGTATGTTGGGGATCTCCGCGCTCATCTTGGGGCTCGAAGCGGTCGGAGCAGCTGCTCATGCCATCTCGATGAAGTATCAAGGAGGACCTGGTGTGGCCCCGGTTGTGAACACCCTCCTGACAGTGGTCAAATCGGATCAGTACCAGCAGAATGTGACAAGGGATCAAATGAAGCTGTTGATTCAGTCCCTCAACCCGATGGCATCTTTTGCCGTTGGAATCTTGAAGGCAGCCGCGGCAACACGCGACTGGGTGGAGTCGCACCCAGCACTGGAATCATACAGCAAGCGCTGCGAGACGGAGCTCTTACACGGCATGCAGGTGGGCCGCGGGCTTGCGAATGTTGCAGACAACGCGGCCTCTGTGTTAGGAATGGTCAATAATGCTGGAGCATCATTTGCTGCTGCATTGGATGGCATGCTCGCTGATGCCAATGTCACTGCAGCTGCTGCAGCATTGGGAGGAGGCATCCCTCTGGTCAATGTGGTGGCAGCAGCTTGGGTCTAAGCTGAGAGTGTCATCCGAGGCTAATCAGTCGGAATCTTGGCGTGCCATGCAACAGGGACTAGTGACAGCTTCTGCACGCACTCACGCTTGATTGGCCCCCTGGGTGTTGACACCAGGCAGAGAAGTACTGGGCATCTGCCCCCGCGCAGATCCCTTATTTTTCTTTGTACTACTCCTGTGTATATTATGACACTCGCTAGTCTTTTACCTGAGCCCACTCCCAACGATCTGTCCGCATACGCCACCTTGGAGTCCAATGATCAACAGTGTTTCGAAACAGGACTCTAAGGAGAGGTTTCGTTGGAGGACACAGTCACTTTATGCGTTGATAGGTTCTGTTGCTGACATATCATGACGGAGCCTCTTAGTACAGTCTCACTTTGCAGACGCGAACTCATATGCCTCGCCTGGATTGTCCGAGTGTGAGCGCCGAAACTTCCAGCCTGCAGAACACTGCATCAACTCGTTGAGATCCTGTGGACTATGTGGACCCTTGCCTGCCTTGTGCGAGTGTGAGCGTCGAAACCCTAAACTTCCACTCCGAGGTGCCAGCTTCGAGGCGGACCCTGCCTCAGCGATCCAAGGCTGAGCCGTAGCATGGCTGGCCAGAGTTCTGGCAGTAGATGCCTGTAGTCTTGTAGGGTTTGCAGTAGGCTAGAGCTCGAGCAACTGTGAAGCAGGTTTAGGTTGAAGTTTCGAGTTCGGTGAATTCATGTGTATACACATATGTATACATATATATATATACACATACAGATTATCTGCGCATGTACATACATATCAAGTTTCGTATGGGGGTTATGGTGTCCTGGTGTTGGGGTTTAGGTGGGTGTTGGAAGTATGAATGCTGTGCGATGAGATGAAGAGCTACCAGACCGATAGTGCCAATGCCAAGAGAGGTGTGTGTGGTTAGAACATCGAAACTAGTAGCACACTCTGGCAACTCCACTCTAGTGTCGCACTAGGCAAGAGATTGGGCTGCTGCACTTACTTCTTGTTGTGGTATCCAGTTTGGACAAGCCCTTGTGCCAAACGATCCGTCGCACAGCTCGAATGTTTGGCGTCCGTGCCTTTGTCCCGGACATGAAAGTATCCTGCTGCCATCATGTTCGGACGGCACCATCGCCCTACAATTCTGCAACTTCACGCCAAGGGGCAAGCCAGCGCAAAACCCGCAAGGACTCTAAGATGGAACTGTAAATCCGCAGGGCCACCCTGCCTGCTGGCGCGGCTGTCGCAATCGAGTGGGCGGCAAAGCACGGGCAAAGGTGCCGGGTACCTCTCTCTCTCTTGCTGTGTCTAGCTAACTAATTGTGTTCTGCTATGATTCAGTTGCGCATTTCTTGGTGCATGGCCTTCGGTGGATCAGCTTCGGATTCTACTCCAGTTCTATTGAGTCCGGGATGCAAGGAAATCCACGATTACTGCATGATAGCCGTGGCAGCCGGAACTCCATCCATCTCAACCCAAACTCCCAAAACCTTCCTTAAAAAGCCCTCAGAACACGGCATTCCTCGGTCAGGGACTCAGCCGCTCGACGCACCTCGAACTTCAGGACGCGTTTTGTGCACTGTCGGGTCCCGAAATCATACAACAACAGAATCGCGACGGCGCCGTATGAAGGACAAAAAATGTGTGTGGGTGAACCATAGCTGGACCTTCCTGTACAAACGACTCCTGCAGTGCATGACGAGCTCTGATGTGCAAGTGCTTCAGGAATCACCGAGAAGCTCGTCCTCAAGAGCCGCTGGAGACGCTGCCCAAGTTCCAGATCCGCGAATGGCTGAAGGGATTTGGGACGTACCCCTAATTTTCGGAAACTCTCATTTGATGCTTGGACACGACAGCGTGCGACCTAGGCAAGGAGATCAAGACCATGCCGGGCTCTCAGCGACGCTTGACATCGGCATCTGGCCGACACAGAGAGAAAAAGGATAAATGCAGGATTGCAATCTCATACGTGTATATATATATATATATATATATTTATTTGTTTATATATATATATATATACATACAGACAGAATAGTAAGTACGCGTTACGTTACAGTTACATTCTACTATACTCTCCCTTTTGCCAAGTTCCACAATGGGCACGCAGCTGCTGGAAGAGATGCACCAGACGGCCGGGAGCCCCAGAGCTGCTCCGATTTCTGGGGGCTCTTGCGACCCCTGTAATATTAATATTAATATTAATATTAATACTAATATTAATATTAATATTAATATTAAAATAGAAGTGTACAATCATACTAGAAAAGAGTCCGAAGCCCGAACTCTAGCTGTCAAGGCCCCTAGAATACCGATGCGTTGCAAGAAGCCCAAGCTACAGGCACATCGCGAGTCCGCTGACGGCCGCTACCGTCGCCAAAATCAGGCCATGCAAACTCCCGTAGGAGTTAGGGGCGGGGGGCTCTTCGCAGTGTTGCCACGTTTGTCGGCAGGCGCGGCGGACCATATTCGACAGGCTCGTCCGAACGTCGGCAAGTTGGAATCAATCCAACACCTCTTGGCTGCACCCTCGCTGAGATCGATACGCCCCTCGTATTCCAGCTCGATCCAGCTCTAGCTCCATCATGGTTACAGGGCGCGTCCGCGGTGGCTTCCGCTGCATCCCGGTTCTTCTGTTCGGCTGACTTGGGCCCGAGCCTTTGTGGGAAGGTGCACAGTCTCGCTTGGATCTTGGCCGTATAATTATAGTAAATTCGATTATGGCTTATATAATCATATACTCAAGTACATTATACTTTACTATATTGTATTATGTTATGTGATGTTGTGTTGTTTGCTAAGTTTCATGGTACATCATGTCATACATTATAAAGCTGTACCATATGATACTACAGTACACTGTATGATAATTATTAAAGTATGTGATATGATACTGTATGAGAGCTATATTATTCTTAAACCACATTACAATTGTTATATCCTAAGTTCACTCGGCCCTGAGATGCTGCGCTGCGCAAGACTTGAAGCCGCGCAAAGCTCCTAGGATGCCCTGGCCCTGGTTCTGCTGTGCCAGCAGCCTCAGAAGTGCTCAGAAGTCTTTCAAACTCGACTTGGAGATCTTTGGTTGAGATAAATCCACGGAGTTTGTCCCGGACGTTGGAGTCCTGAAGCCCTAAACCCGGAGGTTTGTGACGGAAGTTGGAGTCCTGAAAGCTGGAAGTCGACAGAGACTCGTGAAGCCTCATGCTTGCTTCTGAGTCTACGATGTGGTCTACATCCCTCTGGGAGCCCTCGACCCTCCCAGTACTACGGTCTGGGCCTTGAACTTTCTCAGGATTCGATAGAACAAGCTTGATTCGTCGAGTCATGCGGATCGGTTGATATGCAAGCGGCTACAGAGCTCTTCTGAAGCTTCTGGTGATCACTGGCTTTTTCTGGATCCAGTCGCCGCTACCGGTGTCCATATATGCGAGCGGTACCAAGTTCACCGACGTGCTGGAGTGGTTTTCCCTGGTCTTTTGGACCCTTGACATGGTCATGACCTGTCTGCCCGGTGCCCAAGGAGTCCTGGTGACTTTTTAGGGTACTTCTGGTATGCATCGTTAAGCTAGGTGCGTCGATCATCTCTAATCAGACATCCACCGGGACAAGACACTTGAAGTCTTCCGACACTTACAGTCTTTGTTGTCTGGAGCTTGGCGAAAAGGCCATGAACCAGAAGTTTGAATGATACGCTCCTGCTGCTGCTGCTGCTCCTGCTACTGCTACTACCACTGCAACTACTACTCCCACCTGTAGAAGTCGTTGCGTTCCCTTTCCGCGGCCAGCAGTACTTGGGGGAAGCCTTTTGGGGGGGTCGTTGCGTTTGGGTGTCTACTTGGTGTTTCACAGGTTACAGTTGAACCGGAAAGTTAACCATTTCTGGATGTCATAAGCAAGCAACAGCGGGGAAAGATTTCAGGAAGTTTGCCCCATCAGCGTGTAGTTGGGGGGAAAGTATGTTACAACATTCTACATCTACCCAGAGACTCCAAAACCCTTTAATTCAGGAATGTCCTTCAAATTATAAACAGGACCGAATAGGAACCCTAATCTTTAGGGTTTTGGAAGCTGTTGGGGTAGTAAGTCTTCGTGTTTTACAGGTGAATTTGCAAACTTTCCCGTCTTACAGGTTTAAAGCCTTTGGGGTAGTAAGCTTTCGCGTTTTACAGGTTTAAAACATTTTTGTGCAGTAACCTTTCGGGTGTTACAGGTTTAAAGCTTTTGCGGTAGTACCAAACGTGTGCATGTGTGTGTGTGTGTTACATTAAATCATACCCGAGGGTATCGTTCAACCCCATTTACTGATCTACGACCGGGTATCGTTCAACCCAACGTAAGAAGCTTACGAACGCCATCTTGTGTTAGAAGTTGTTGGGGTAGTAGACTTTCGGGATTACAGGTTCAAAGCGGGAGGGGTAGTATTCTTTCAGGTTTTGGAGGTTAGAAGCTGTTTGGGGTAGTAAGCTTTGGGGTTGGACAGGTTTCAAGCTTTTGGGGTTTATAAACTTTTGGGCTGTGCGAGTTTGAAGCTTTCCGGGTAGTAAACTTTCAGGTTTGACAGGTTTGAAGCCTTTGGGGTAGGAAACTTTCGGGTTTTACAGGTTTGAGCTTTTTGGGCTAGTATACTTGAGGTCTTGACAGGTGTTTCCATAGCTCCTGGGGGACCGCTGTTAGTTGCGGAAACAGGTGAAAAGCCTCATTGAATGATCTGTTTCATAGCTCGGTCGGGACTGCTGTTAGATGCGGAAACAGTTGAAATGCATTACCGACGGCTGGAATGAAACGCCTCAGTGAATGACAAGCAAGCAAGAGCAGGGAAGGATCTCAGGAAGTTTGCCCCATCAGCGTGTAGTTTGGGGGGAAAGTATGTTACAACATTCTACATCTACCCAGAGACTCCAAAACCCTTTAATTCAGGAATGTCCTTCAAATTATAAACAGGACCGAATAGGAACCCTAATCTTTAGGGTTTTGGAAGCTGTTGGGGTAGTAAGTCTTCGTGTTTTACAGGTGAATTTGCAAACTTTCCCGTCTTACAGGTTTAAAGCCTTTGGGGTAGTAAACTTTCGCGTTTTACAGGTTTAAAACATTTTTGTGCAGTAACCTTTCGGGTGTTACAGGTTTAAAGCTTTTGCGGTAGTACCAGACGTGTGCATGTGTGTGTGTGTTACATTAAATCATACCCGAGGGTATCGTTCAACCCCATTTACTGATCTACGACCGGGTATCGTTCAACCCGACGTAAGAAGCTTACGAACGCCATCTTGTAGCAAGTTGTCTAGTTTAACAGTTTTGAAATTGTTGGGGTAGTAGACTTTCGGGATTACAGGTTCAAAGCGGGAGGGGTAGTATTCTGTCAGGTTTTGGAGGTTTTAAGCTGTTGGGGTAGTAAGCTTTGTGGTTGGACAGGTTTCAAGCTTTTGAGGTTTACTGTGGAGGGCCGACCTGGCGAAGCCAGAATTGCTTGTGTTTTGCGGGCCTTAAAATGGGGTCGCCCGACAGCCCCATAACTGTGCAGCTTTGAGATCGTACAAAGACAGGGAATTTTTCCAGAGGTGACTCTAGCATCTCTGAACAGAGCAGATCAAGCCATGCCATGCAGAGTTATGGTATCGAGAAGGTCGGCCGGAACAGATCATACAAGAGCGGCGGAATTTTCTGGAAGGCATCTCCACCAGATCTGAACAGGACTTCTTGAGCTGTGTAGAGTTATGGTATCGAGAGGTGCGGCTGACGGTTCGGAATTTGTGCACGGTGCTTAACTCCAAAACCCCTCATGCACGACATGGGCTCACCTGGCTCTTGCCAGATTTTTTTTGCTCTTTTAGCAGAGACCCATTTGTAACATTCCTTGCCTCTGCCTTGCTTCTGGTTGCATTTGCTGTTGCTGGAACGGCTGTTGCGTCCCCTCAAACAGTCCGAACTGCACTTTTCGCTGCCGGAAGTTGCGCCTCTACTTCAATTTCTTTTTGCTCTCTGAGTCTGTGCGAGCGTCAAATCGTTTTTTTTTTAACTTTTGCAAGCAAACACCATTCTTGCTTGGATTAGAAGATGATTGTGGCTACATCTTAATAAAAGGTAAAGACCAATGAATTGCTTTTTTTGGTTGCGTGTCTCTTTGCGCAGGTTGCATCCGCTGTCACAAACCTCGGCCTTCGGAGGTCTTGCGCCTCAGCACGGACGGACAACATCGCAACAGGCGCTTCAAGGGACTTTGTTGCTCAGCAAATTCCACCACATCTCCGCGCAACACAGACCCGTGCCACCCCCCCACAACACAGGTCCGTGTATTTTCTGATTTCGGACAGGATTCTGCGCCTGTTTGGAAAAAGTGTCATTTGATCTTTGGTGTTTTTCGGTCTGCCTCAAATGTTGGAATCTGTTAGAAGTGCTTTTGAATCAGGTTAGTGACCGCACTCGTTTTGTCTCGTTTCGTTTTGCTTCGAATGTTTTCAGCTCAAGTGAAAGATGCACACTCTGTTTTTCTTGGAAGCGGACTTCGGCCTCGCCTGTGCAAGGTAGAAGTTAAGAGTTCTTCTGGAAGGCACCTGTGCCAAGAAAGCATCAAAGTTACCTGTTTGGACCAGATCCTATTTGTCCGAAAAGTCCGCCTGCAGCTCAAAGGTGGAAGTGTTCTAGCTGCTGTGTCTGGAACACCTGTTCGGCCACCAGTGCCGCCGATGTCCACTTTGGGTGCGGACCAACTGCAGCACACGCGGCTCCAATTGTGGGGTCGAACAAGCTAAGCAATTTGGCTTCGCTTGAGTGGCCCCCCTCTGTTCTCTCATGTCTTTCACTTCCACAGGCAAGCTGTCTGTTGGAAATTCTTGTTGTTGGAGAATGATTTTTCCACACTGGATGCCTGCCTGTGGGCGGGTCGCCTTGATGTAGCAGTGTGTGTGGAATGCACGGGCTTGGCTTGGGCCCCAACATGCGAAATTCGCGACCCCAAAACAGGGGCCGCCAAGCGGCCCCGATTTTGGGGTCCTCTAGTTGCCAGTCAAAATATGTTAAAGGAGGTTGGCTGCATTTCGCGGCTCCTTTTCTGGGGCCGCGAGACGGCCCCATTTTTGGGGTCGCAAGTTTGATTCCTGCACCCACAGCGGCTGAATCTCGTCAGCTGTGCATGTCATTGATTGTATTGACTTTGGGGAGCGTCTGGTGGAGGACCGTTTGGAAGGTCGGAACTTGTCCAAAGCAGCTGTGTTGCTTGCCCTTAATGGTGCTGCAGCCAGCGGAGTGCAACTGTGGAGGGCCGACCTGGCGAAGCCAGAATTGCTTGTGTTTTGCGGGCCTTAAAATGGGGTCGCCCGACAGCCCCATAACTGTGCAGCTTTGAGATCGTACAAAGACAGGGAATTTTTCCAGAGGTGACTCTAGCATCTCTGAACAGAGCAGATCAAGCCATGCCATGCAGAGTTATGGTATCGAGAAGGTCGGCCGGAACAGATCATACAAGAGCGGCGGAATTTTCTGGAAGGCATCTCCACCAGATCTGAACAGGACTTCTTGAGCTGTGTAGAGTTATGGTATCGAGAGGTGCGGCTGACGGTTCGGAATTTGTGCACGGTGCTTAACTCCAAAACCCCTCATGCACGACATGGGCTCACCTGGCTCTTGCCAGATTTTTTTTGCTCTTTTAGCAGAGACCCATTTGTAACATTCCTTGCCTCTGCCTTGCTTCTGGTTGCATTTGCTGTTGCTGGAACGGCTGTTGCGTCCCCTCAAACAGTCCGAACTGCACTTTTCGCTGCCGGAAGTTGCGCCTCTACTTCAATTTCTTTTTGCTCTCTGAGTCTGTGCGAGCGTCAAATCGGTTTTTTTTTTTAAAACTTTTGCAAGCAAACACCATTCTTTCCAATGCTTGGATTAGAAGATGATTGTGGCTACATCTTAATAAAAGGTATCAAGACCAATGAATTGCTTTTTTGGTTGCGTGTCTCTTTGCGCAGGTTGCATCCGCTGTCACAAACCTCGGCCTTCGGAGGTCTTGCGCCTCAGCACGGACGGACAACATCGCAACAGGCGCTTCAAGGGACTTTGTTGCTCAGCAAATTCCACCACATCTCCGCGCAACACAGACCCGTGCCACCCCCCCGCAACACAGGTCCGTGTATTTTCTGATTTCGGACAGGATTCTGCGCCTGTTTGGAAAAAGTGTCATTTGATCTTTGGTGTTTTTCGGTCTGCCTCAAATGTTAGAAGTGCTTTTGAATCAGGTTAGTGACCGCACTCGTTTTGTCTCGTTTCGTTTTGCTTCGAATGTTTTCAGCTCAAGTGAAAGATGCACACTCTGTTTTTCTTGGAAGCGGACTTCGGCCTCGCCTGTGCAAGGTAGAAGTTCAGAGTTCTTCTGGAAGGCACCTGTGCCAAGAAAGCATCAAAGTTACCTGTTTGGACCAGATCCTATTTGTCCGAAAAGTCCGCCTGCAGCTCAAAGGTGGAAGTGTTCTAGCTGCTGTGTCTGGAACATCTGTTCGGCCACCAGTGCCGCCGATGTCCACTTTGGGTGCGGACCAACTGCAGCACACGCGGCTCCAATTGTGGGGTCGAACAAGCTAAGCAATTTGGCTTCGCTTGAGTGGCCCCCCTCTGTATAAACTTTTGGGCTGTGCGAGTTTGAAGCTTTCCGGGTAGTAAACCTTCAGGTTTGACAGGTTTGAAGCCTTTGGGGTAGGAAACTTTCGGGTTTTACAGGTTTGAGCTTTTTGGGCTAGTATACTTGAGGTCTTGACAGGTGTTTCCATAGCTCCTGGGGGACCGCTGTTAGATACGGAAGCAGGTGAAAAGCCTCACTGAATGATCTGTTTCATAGCTCGGTCGGGACTGCTGTTAGATGCGGAAACAGTTGAAATGCATTACCGACGGCTGGAATGAAACACCTCACTGAATAAGCTGTTTCATAGCTCGTTCTGGACCGCTGTTAGTTGGGAAAACAGTTCAATTGCCCCACGGAATGATGTGTTTCATAGCCCTTTCGGGGCCGTTGTTAGTTGTGGAACGAATTGATTGTGTCTCCCGAAATGAGTTTTTTTGATAGCTCTTTGGGGACCGCTGTTAGTTGCGCAAGCAAGTGAAACGCTTCACTTAACCAACAGTTCAAACACCCCACGCAATGATCTCTTTCATCGCGCTCTCGGGACCGCGGCCAAACAGTTGATAGTGTCTCCCGAAATGATGTTTTCAGAGCTACTTGAAGACCGCTGTTAGTTGCGCAAACAAGTGAAACGCTCCGCCTAATGATCAGTTTCATAGCTCCTTCGGGGCCGCTGCTACTTACTGTTTGTGGCGGAAACTGTCCCAGTGCCCCACGGAATGATCTGTTTCATAGCTCTCTCGGGACCGCTGTTAGTTGCGCAAACCGTTGATGGTGTCTCCGAAATGATTTTTCTCATATCTCCTTGGGGACCGCTATTAGTTGCGTAAACAAGTGACACGCTTCACCTAATGATCTGTTTCATAGCTCCTTCGGGACCGCTGTTAGTTGCGGAAACACTTGAAACGCGCCACGGAATGATCAGTTTCATAGCTCTCTCAGGCCCGCTGTTAGTTGCGGAAACAGGTGATTGCAAGGACCCTGCCGCGACCCCCTCCTTGCGCACTGCTAGTTATGGATTCGTACACAGAAACAGGTTTGCAAGGACTTTAGCGGTTGGGAGTACTACTACTACTACTACTACCACTACTACTACCACTACCACTACCACTACCACTACTACTACTACCACCACTACTACTACTACTTCTACTACTACTACTATTATTATTATTATTACTACTACTACTACTCCTCCCGTCGTCGATGCTCATAGAGAGCCCCGCGGAGCTGGCGTTGCCGTGCTATGTGGGTGACAAAAACTACTACTACTACTACTACTACTACCACTACCACTACCACTACCACTACCACTACCACTACCACTACCACTACCACTACCACTACCACCACTACTACTACTACTACTACTACTACTACTACTACTAGTGCTACTGCGGGTGGCGAAAACTACTACTACTACTGCCACTAACTGCACCACCGCCACTACACACTGCTACATTGCGACTACAATGCTGACTCTTTTCAAAACGGCAAAGACCGCGACACTGGCTCCTGCTACTACTACCACCAGCACCATGACCTCTATCAGGGGCTACTGGCGATAAGGATGATCATTATAACCACTACAGCCGGACAGCTTAAACAATGAGGGATGGACCTTTGTTGGTAGAGCTGGCCGTAGTCGCAGTAGGAGCAACAAAGAAGCAGTAATGAGCACTGTTGCAACACCCATGCTAGTCTTCCATAGTCTAGTATGCAGTATGCGGGCAACATAAGCTTGCATAGCTTCAAGTTCGCAAGAACGCAGCGATGGTCATAGAGACACTGTGGATGGTGTTGGGAGCGCACCACTGTTCCGGCCGGACCAATAAGGTCGGCATACTATTACAAGGGCGAAATCGTGACCGAGTTCCGATCCCCGTCAGCATCTCTTGCTAGTCGAACAGGCATTCCTTTCAGACGTGGTTACATGGTTATATAGTTATAACTGTATGCACGAAGATATATATATATATATATATGTATATATATATATATATGTAATCGGCCGTAGAAGGACTTTGAGTTATTTGAGTGATAGGCGATGAGGTTGGGGTTATTTGTGTAGCAAACAAGATTTAGGGCTGATGATCCATCAACGAACTGGGAAGTTTTAGTTGCTGTTCCTCAGAGCTACACTGCTTGGGCGACATTTGTACTCCACGTCTTGTCTTGAGCTCCAGATCTTGTTCACAACCTCTGTATTGCCGGGGAGATTTCCGAATCACGTGCGCTGCATCGCATGTGATGCTTGCGAGACTCGTCGGACGGATGAACATGTGTTGAACGTGTTGGTATGAAGTATAAGCAAGGCATTTCTTAACGAACCGTTCCATCCGCAGCTAACTCTCGGACCAGGACGCATTGCGAAGAACTACCTGAAGACATGGTGCCCGCCCTGGGAAGCTGTGTTCAATCAATGCCTGTACCAGCGGCTGGTTCAAAGTGTTTTGGGTTCTTGAGAAACCATGCAAGCAGAAGTGTTGGGTGGCAGCATCTCGCACGAACTTCCACATTTATGCCAGATCGCACTATAAGAGAATGACGACGGCACATCATCGCAGTGGCTGCTGATCTTATGCGTAGCCTTCGATGTCTTTGTAGAGCGGCCAGGTTTTTCTTGGACGTCGTGGTGCTGGCAGGGAGCTCAGCGCAGCCTCTCCTGTAGTAGGAGTGTAGGAGACGAGACATTAGCCTCTCATCTCGCATCGTGAATTTCGTACCACGCTCGTTGTACGACGCGGGCATTCAGTCATTCCGCACGATGTGCGCCATAGTCGCTTCTTCCTCCTCCCGACCGTGGCTCATGATGAATGGGAGACGATAGTTAAAGCGCGGAGTGCTTTCGTGACGGGTTGGATGAAAGTTGCGCAGCCGGCAGGCACCGGAGTGGATGGAGCGACTGGGCTCCGCCGGCGAAGAATCAGGCCCAGCGGGGATACTGGATCTTTGAGGTAGGTAACACAAGGGCCGTAAAAATTAGAATAGGGTTTTGCAGGTTTCTGCATTATACCGATAGTTTAATATACCCACGCAAACCCTATTCTAACGATCAAGGCCCGGATAGTATCCCTTGGAGCTCGCCTGCTCCCGTGCGGGACGTGGCAACGGCATCTTCCAAACTCCGACTCGTAGCCAGGCGAGGCCTTCAAGATCATCCGGTCCTTCCGATTCCTGCGCACGCCTGGACCTCGTAATTAGGGTTGGCTGCACGTTCAGGTTCGGCGGAGTTGCAGTGGGACCGAGTCGAGGGTCAGATTCAGGACGGTGACGTTATGACATAGAACCCTAAATAATTGCCAATATCATTCCTTGGAGTTCCGCATTCGAATCACACTAATTATTAAGGAGCCCAAAACCTCCAACGGTTAAGGCCCTTACAGTAGATATGCTCTACGAGGCTACGGCTGCTACGGCTGCTGAAGCTCCAGAAACTCTTGGCTATGGCCCAGCCCTCAAAAGCCACATGTCGGATCTCGTCACAGCTGTTCTTGATCGGTCTTGTCAGTCTGGATCGACTTGGGAACACTATTGTGTTCCCCCGCTTTTTTTTTTGTTGTTGGGGGCTTCGTGCTTGAGTGTCTTGTATCTCGTGCAGACTGCTACCATCGAAACCCTTATCGTGTTGTGGTGCTATCGAGATTAGCCCATCATCAGCACTGGCCGTCACTGGCCTTTGAGGCGACGAAACTGACATGCTTTATCTCAGGGGTCCGTAGTTGCGACATAGACCCGTAATGTTTTCCGACAGTTAGTTTCAATTAGTTGTGTTTTGTGGCGAGGGTTCCGAAAACACGGGAAACGATTATGTTGTATGAGGTTCTCTCGTGTGAGTGTTGGTAAGCCCTTTGCAGTGCAAAGTTTGTTGTCTCAGAACCTTCGTAGAACCAGCCAGTCCCTCTTACCTCATGTTTGGATATGTTTCTTCAGTTCTCTCCCTGCAGACAAGTGCGTGAGAAGGGCTTCTTCTTGTCTTTCATAAATGCTTAAAGCCAGAGATGTTTATGTTTCCTGGTTCGTCTTTGTGGGCATGTGGCCTCATGCCAAAATCGTTCCTCCTTTGTCCTTGTTGTAAACTTGGGCTTAGCTTTATTGTGTCACACTGCACTCCCACATATCGCCTCTTGGCTGCCACTCGAGGTCTATGACTTGATCGACAGTGAGTTCACGCACGGCTCTCAAGACATCTGGGAGCCTGGCTCCCCCAATCCTTAAACAGAAAGCAGAGGGCCTGATGCCTCGCCCTGGAACCCCTGGGAATCAGATCAGATCCTGCTCGTTGCGTATTCCAGGACTGATGTGGGTGACCGACCTGCCAAGGTTCATCATGTTCACATGCATCCGCCTGATCTTTTTCATCGTTGTCCTGAACCACTGCATTGCTTGCGTGTGGCACCCCGCCCTGATAGTCACTTGGAGGCTGCTCTCACTCTCTCTCTCTCTCTCTCTCTCTCTCTCTCTCTCTGTGCAGCTCCTGCGGATGCCGTGAGTATCGGTGCGGCTTCAGACCTCGTGTGACGAGGGCTCAGATACTAAGCACCTATAGGATAGGGAGCAGTTTCTCACAGAAAATGCGCTATGCAAGTCATGTTGTACCCATGGATGTGCAGTGCTTCGTGGCTCAGGTACTGGGTTGGGAAGTCATCGCTTGAGGGCGGCTATGATAGCTGGATGAACATAGGCGCCTGGGCCAAGAAAGCAAATCAAAATGCATACATAGTATACATTCATTCATACCTTCACACATTGGTACATACATCTGCATATATGCGTTTGCGTTATATATCTTATGCGCAGATATACATAAATACATACATACATACATACATACATACATACAAGGTATACACACATATATACATGTGCATGCATACATCTGCACATGACGGACATATAGACGCACATGTGTTTGTGCAGACACCCATGGGTACATACACATACACACATGCATCCATGTGTACATCGGCATCATGTATCTCGGTATGCATGCATTTGTGTAGGCATGTATGTACGTGTTTTGTATGTATGTACGTATGTACGTGTTGACACGTGCCGCTTTGCACGAATTGATGTTGCTGATGCCTACACGTATGTATTCAATTCCGTAGACACAGGCATATGATCTGTTGTTGGTCAACTCTCCTGCGAATTGAGAGCTCGCGGATTGCTTCTAAAGACCTAACTTGGCAATGCAGGTGGCGTGCCCATCATTGAGGCCAGCTTCCCATACCGCTACACTACGTCGATGCATTGGAGTTTAACTCAGCCACTTGGATTGCACGGTGAGCCGCATGACTGATCACCTACCTGAAGCCTCTGGGCCTGTGGGTGGTTCCTCGGCCATGGGCGAAGTAGCATGTGGCCGCTTAGCCGCGTGTTGTTCAGTTGGCAAGGTTCACACCTGCTTCAATGGAGATTTCGGTGCCTCAGCCGCAGCTAACACGTGGTATCTAGTGCCGCTGGCATTGCAGCGCGCGAGATTAAATCATCAGGTTGTGGAAGAAAACCGCAGAAGACAAAGTGATTGCAGCATCGGCCAGGAAATAACTTGCCACACTTTAGCCACTGAAGCCCCGTCCCATGGGTTTCGCCTCCAGATGAGGCTCGAAACACTGGCGAACGAGCTTTTCGACCGCACTCGAGCTTCAGTCGGTCAAGAGTTTAGGATAAAAAGGCTTCAGTCGGTAGATTCCATCGTAGGCCTTGTGTTCTCACATGACACAGGACATAGAGGCGTGGCGTGGGCTTGCTTGAAGGTGTGATGCGCTTCTTGTTGTCCAATGCAGCCACTCAGTCTGCTATTTCATCAAGTTGCGTTGGCCATCTGCTTCTACACGCCCCGCTAGCATAGCCTTGTCCTGCAAGCTCTGAGGTATTCTCGATCATGATCCTCTTCTTTGCGCTCATCGTTTTCTCCTCCGTGATCGGCCAGGCGGCTTGTAACGGGCTTCCGGCTGTAGATGGCTGGAAGGCACTGTCATGAACCGACGACCGCGTGCCGCCAGGTGACCAGTTCTATGATGTCTCTTCAGAACATGCAGGCCTTGCGCGATGAGTTTACTGGTCAGGGCATAGATAATTAGCCAGCAGCCCATGATGCAGGATTGCACATGTTTAGGACGCCCCAAAGCCTAACCAGACCGTAGAACCAAGCATGGAACGTCGAGATGCCTTCTTTGCATGTGTGCCAGGCCAGCAGCAGAAAGCAGTTTTGGCTCCTCCGGCGCTTCCTGAACGCTCGCAAGGCGAGGTCAGGTGTGGAGTATCGTCATAATTTTTGTTATCATTATCACAAATTTCTGCTATTGCTTCAAAATATTGTGATCGTTATTGTTTCTGTTATTATCATTATCATTATTACTATTTGTGTTAGTTTTATTGTTATTACGATTGTTGACAATATTGTTTCTACTTTTAGAATTAGTATTACTTGGGCTTATTCTTGTTAGAAATATTCTGGATATCATTATTAGAATTCATAAAACTACTGTTGGTATGATTGGTATGATGATAGATTCGATTTTTCTTATCACTATTGCTATCATAAATATTAGTCGTATATTCATTCACTTATTATTATTGGCAAGTGTTGTTCCTGTTATTACTACAGCAGGCGTATTTCTCATCGGGAGGATACGGCGGGTAAGGGCTCTGAGTAGGGGAGTCTCGGCCGGAGGTGCCCAAGAAGAGCCGCAGTCGGATCATCCGCTTCCTGGAGCAGCGCGTGCCGAAAGAAAGGCTCCGCGGTTTAGGGTTCGGGTCCGACCTTAACCCTAAATAACCCACCCAATTAGGGCTCCTTATTAAGATTTCCGTATATAAGTCCTTAAAAAGGTAGATTATTCCGGGTTAAGGGAGAGTTTGGGGCTGCCCGGACTCTGCGAGCTACTAGCCGGGACGATGTCGTGGGCGCCTGAGATGTATCGATGATATGACCACGCATGAGGTGCATGTTCGAGCACATATGTATGTGTGTGTGTATGAGTAGGTACTTACAGGTAGGTACTTTTGTGGATGAGAGTATGTGCAGCCGTAGGTTCCGCAATCCATGCCCCCGTGCAGTCAGAAAGTGCAGCAGAGGGACATCAAGCCGGGGGCCTCAGCATCTTCCGGCAGACTGATTCTAAGATTTCCTCACCACCAACGACCGAAAACCTATAGCTCAAGTCACAAGTCTACGCCTGTGGTGGGGTTTGGCATTTTTAGCCTGGCATTCAGCCCAGGGGTTGCCTGCTGAAGATCTACAGTTTGAGGTGTGGCGTGAGAGGTCATTTCTATGGTTCAGGTGTAGGGTTTTAGATTCGAGGCTTCGAGGGTTGACGACCCGCAGTACTTCCCGGGGCACACGAGCGACTTCCGGCAACGTCGGGCGACGGGGCAATCAAAACAAACAAGATCAAACGGTTCATATACAGAAAGGGGCCCTCACAACTAGAAGAGGTTTTCCGGACCATTATATCAAAAGTTATAATCAAAGGAACCCCGAAAGTCGTGTTGATTATTAGGTAGGCCCCTCTAAAGTACACAGAAGGGAAGTCTTGCCCTGGTGCCTTTTGCCCGCAAGTCGTGTCGGAGGATCCTATCTCTGCTATCGGAGCCCTTGAAGGACTTGCTCGCTTGGGAGCTTCATCGAAGGCCTGGGCTGACTGAGAAGCTTCGGGCTGACTGGGAGCTGAAGGGTGATTTCTTAGGGGTACTTAGAAGAATTGTTTAGTTTTTGGTTGTTGTAATCCCTAAGAAACAGCTAAAAGTGTGATTTTTGCTAGGGTTCTAAGTTCAGTATAGATTTGTGGAGCTCGTTGAACTCATGCTTCCCCCGGAACACTCACCAAGATTCGTAAGCATTAGTCTGCCTCCTACTGAGGCTCAGGAGGAGCCCAATTACAGACTCTTCGCTCCTGTGTTGAAGCCATCCCTTCAATCTTGAAAAGCTGCTGTACAGGCTTCTTGGGCGCCATCGGCTCTTCTACATACTTCATGGGGCCATCGAGGCCATGATGATGAGGCGCGGCTGCGCCGAGTTGTTTTAATGGACCGTGTGTAAGGAAAGAGTGCATGGAAAGTATAATGAAGCTTTCGCAGAAAACCGCTCGCCCTCCGCAAGTGTGAGACGGCACTGGTTTGAGAGTGTCGCATGGGCAGCACGCATCATGCCTCCACTCCGGCAACGACAAGAAACAGCCCGGTGACGAAACCCCACATGGAGACTTCTGTTGCGCTCGGTCCACATGTCCCGACCCTTCGGCAATGCCTTGTGCGCTTCTGGTCTGCGCATGGTGACAACGCGGTGGCCGCTATGCCAGAATTCTAGAACGAAGGCAAGACGGTAGAGGTAGACAAGCAGGGCCCTTAGTTCGCTGAACGACGCTCAGATTCATTCCTTGCATTCGGAGGGTGTGCAGCGTCGCCGTCTCCGAGTCGACCTTGGCAGAGCAGGCGGGGTTTTCGCGGTTCCTGTCCAGGGTTGGGCCGGCTGATGGCGCTGTCTTGCACTAAACATATTTTTGAACAAACATTTTTCCCCAATATGTTTAGTGTTTGCAAACCGGAGGTGGGGAGGTTGTTTCCAGGTCGGGCTTTTCAAATTAAGGCTTTCTATCTGTGCATGTCGTTGATCCAGTGGATCGAACCCGCCGGAGGATGAACTCTTCCGTGCCGGTGAGAGCGCCTCGCACATGACGTTCGTCCTTTCGGGGCACTTCCACTATCAGCCGGGTGCTCGTGATGTATCGCAGCGGCCAGATCTCGATGCCCTGATAGTCAGAGGTGCTGCCAAAGCCACCAGAAGCACAGGCTTGCATGTGGACGGTATGACCTGGCTTGGTTTGTTCGTTGTGCCAGACCCTTCAACAAATTTAGAATATTGAGGGCAAGTGCTTTGTACATGCTGCCTGCTTGGCCTTTGTAATTTAGTAATGGCAGAGTCGCTTCTGCAACAAGCTTTTGCTAGCTCGACAGCAGCGCTCTCGGTGTTTTGGCTTCTAGAATCGTTGACTAGCGTTTAGTGCTGCACCCCGCAGATTGAAGGTTTCATCCACCTCCGAACACCGCATGAGTTCATGATGAATACCGCAGTGTTTTCATGCAACCAGCAAAGCACGCTGTTTGGATGAATGGCCCAGGCCTGGGTACGAGTTCCAAGAGACCCGAGCCCAGCTTTCAAAGAGTGAGTCGAGGAGATACAAGTGGTTCTTAGACTTCGCATCTGGCTAATGTAGGAACCTGACTAAGGTTCCTTGAGCCTTTATTTGGGCCTTATATGAATCCTACTATTTTGGGGGGTTATAGGCCCAGGTCTGCAGGGCTTGAATAGGGCACTGCGATCCAGATGTTGCAGTGCCTGGCGCTGCTAGACCCTCTGGATGCAACGGCAGAGAGAGAGAGAGAGAGAGATCCAGATGTTGCTGAGCAGAGCATCGTCCGCGCAGAGCAGTGGAATTTGGCAGGTTGGGGCATTCAGCTGTTGTCTCATCCATAGCATCGTGTGCGTCTAGGACGCCTTCCTTGGTTTCAGGGGAAGATGCACGGTTATCTTTGGATCACTTGACACATGACACATGCCGACTGTCTGACTCTTTTGCGCACTGCCCTCCTCAGGCCAACCGACATTGGCGAGGACCTTAACTGCTCAGAACAGAGTTGATTTCGTCCTCCGTGATTCAGTTACTTCAGAAGGTTAGGGTCTGCCACGAGTGCAGCGGCTCTGACATCCGACACCCAGGCGGGCATATACAAGTCTGTGCAAAGGTTTTCCCACAGCAGCCATGGCTTCCCGACCGAGCAAACCTCCCCCTAGTACTTCTGTCTTGTTCTTTATAGGGAATAGGGGAATGGATTATGGAGACTATTATTGGGGATATAGGGACCATTCCCCCATTCCCTACCAAGAGCCATACAGTCTTAGGCCCATACCGCTGGCTCGTGGAGCCATGTCTCTGGACAGACTGGCAGCACCAAGGAACGCCGGGCCCTTGACACCAGCGAGGGCAGATAGTCGCAGTGATGGTACGACTCAGCATAGATCTGCTACATGCCCAACCCAAACCCCTGCGGTAGATACCCCCTCAGCCGCAAGGCCCATGACAGTAACACATTGACAGGCTGACTCTGAAACAGCAGTGGATGTTGAGCATATCCTCGTTCGCACGTCACTTTTCATGAGGAATTTCGACCAATGTCACGGCGATGGAGTTTGTGCCAAACTAAAGCAAGCGACAACAGTGATCCGTTTGTCGCTTTGCAGAGCTAGCCGTACCTGGAGATGCGGCAGGGTTCAGCATCCTGGAGCATTGAGGTTCACAGCCGTCAAGACGGGTGAGCCCAAGACTTACCCAGATGCGCATGTCAGTGTACTGGGCAACCAGTGACTTCAGGCTCCATGAAGCCGCTACTACAGGTTGGTAGTGGTATAGCGTGACACTGTGTGTACCTCGTCTCGGACGTAAGATGAAAACAGCTGTCTCTGTCGCTTTGCCGAGGCCAGCGCTTCAATGCAATGTTGTTTCAGTCATACGGACGGATGTGTTCTTCGCAAAACCATGTCTGGCTTGACCGATTCTGGGTGCCGAAAGCCGCCGCAACTGAATCAGCATCAGGCTCTGTCATCTGGACCCTGGCAAGTTTGCAGATGTCATGCAGGCAGGGCATCGTGGAGCAAGGGCTAGTACCCTGCACTGCGTAGCCGACGAGTTGGCTGGAGCTTTTGAGTCTCGGGTTCCGCCGTTGAATGTGCCAAACAGAGCGAAAGGGCAGGGTCAAGGTTTCAATAGCCCATGCCTGTCGCAGGCGCATATTTGGCGCAGACCTTAGCATCTGCGCACATCACGGGACACTCCAGCCTGCCGTAATTGTTCAGGTCTTAGGGGCCCTGCATTTGACGATGGCTGAGGCCGTGGAACTTCTGCAAGCAGTACGCGTTGGGCTTTCTTGATGCCCTCAACAACCTGGAGCCTCGGCTTTGGAAGGTGCGAGTCATCACCCGGAGTACTGTCAGTTCACCGGAGCCGTGTGGCGTACAGCAGAAATCGATTGCAGGTACTGGGGAAATAAGCCGCGGTAGTAGCAGCAGACATGCAGAAGCAGCATGAGCAAGTAGTCGTGGCCCCCGTATCCAGTCGTAGCGAGTATAGCGCTTAGTAACTAGTACTGGTAGTACCAGCACATAGTCCTCGTCCTAGCAGTGGTACTCGTAGTGGTGGCAGCAGCAGAAGAAGAGGCATGGACAGCTCCGATTGATGATTTAGCACGGTAGCCGTGATGGCTGACTGTGCGAGATGTTTGATCGCATGGTAT